CGCAATTTGCATGTTTATAAACGTTCAATAGTGTCAACGAACAAACAAGAGCATCTATCGACAGTCAAGGACGCCAAGTGGACATTTAAACACGCGCAATTGACAATCAGTAACACCAAAAGAAAATCATTAACATCTTCTGACAATCGCAAGTGAAAAAGAGACATTTATTAAAAAATTATATAATGCTGTTTGTTTTCATCAACCGCTGATAAATATTTTTACCTTGTTATGTAAATTTACGTAGTTACGTATTTTTATTAATTAAATTTATATAACACCCTTTGGCCAACTGCTGATAATGATCCGAATTTTCTATACTTTAAGGAAGGCTAAGAATTTCTAGATGACCGTTCCATTCATCTACAATTTTCGAAGCTTTTTTAATTTATTACCTACCATTTTCTAAAGTTTGTTTTTTCGCATTTCACTCCCCAAATTAAGCTATTTTCACAGAAAAAGGAAACCTAACATTTTCGGATTCGAAAATGCGATGGCTGACATTTACATACTTGGAAGTAGTTTGTGGAGACTGTAAATTTCATTGGCGCATATTTCATCGAACAACTTTGCGCAATTACCTCTCTTCTATCATACACAGTCAAAAATCCGGACAGCTCTAGAGCCTTATATTAGCATATGATAGCTCAGAGTAAATAATCTTCATAGCGCATTTTTGCAGTCTTTTTAGGTGTTCGCTTAGATAACTTGGTAGAGCGTGATGAAAAACTAGGCAGCCGTCCTTCAGAATAGAGCGAATGCATTTGATGTAAAATAGAATTAGCTGTCTTGTAGCAACATGCGATTTCTCAAGCTGTCTTATATAATCTTGTTGAGACCTTTCTGACTAGTTCTGACACATGGACATTCCACTTTAAATCACTACTAATATTAAGTCCTAACAATTTCGTAGTGTTCACAGTCTCTAACGTCTGACGGTTAAACGGAACGTTTAACGAAAGATAGCCATCTGTTTAAATCATCAATGAATCCAATCCAACTCGTCCAAGTAAACGCGGGCCAGTTAATGATATTCATTACAAGCCCACATTTAACATAAGCCGAAGACTTGCCATAGTTTATAGTGTTTTGTTTTCTTTCCATCAATGTTTTATAAAATCAAGTGAATCAAAACTCATACGATCCTTATTTAAATTTACAATCCTTTAATGTTTATGGGATTTACACCATACAAGAGTTGAATGATTTATCTTCGGTTGTGAGACCTCAGTTTACAGCTAGTAGACGCCCCTTCTAATAAACGCCTCCTGTCTAATAGACGACCCTTATGACAGTTACTCCAAGATGGGGTCTATAACTTGCCACAGAATAGCCTATAATGGGGTAGGGGCTCTGAGAGGCCAGCGACACATAGACATGAAGAATCCGAATCCGCCATACGGAATCAGATCGAGCGCCGTTTACGGCGACATGAAACACTTAGATCAAGACTATGAGTAGCTTTGTGGCTTGCTTCTTCCATGCTGGCCTGGACGTTTACTTTATCGTAAGAGTGGACGATGACGTATATTTGCGATGAGTTTCTAAGATAATATGGTATAAGCAGGCGCAGTGCAAGAAGGAAATAAATAATATATAAGAAATTCGAAGCATAAATGTTTCATTAGTAAGCTTTCCGGTTTATGCTTAATTGAACTTGAGCTTTTTTCCATGCATCAGGCAGATTTCATGTAAAGAAGTTAAGCTTGTCAAGTCTAGCGTATTGAAACGCAGGCATCATTACAATAAAGGAAACTAACACGACAGAGAGGATAACTTTTCAAAAAGAAGGAAATTAACGTGACATACACAGGGGCGGATCCAGGATTTTTTTTAGGAGGGGGTGCACTCGTCTCTTGCTCTACTTCAACACCAATCAACCACGTAGTTTTTTTATTTTGCAGAATACCAGTTGTATTAGAAAACTGCAGGTCATCTTAAGGGGGGGTGCGCACCCCCTGCACCCTCCCCCTAGATCCGCTGCTGATACACAAAGGAGCAAAACTTATTGAGGAACAATTTTAAACGTTTAACCCAAAATGAAAAGATTGTCAGTACACGCAAGTGTGATTTCTTCAAATGATAAATTTTATCGAAAAAAAATTGTCTCTATTAAAAAGATATACGGTGTTCGCTTCCATAATGACATATTAACCAAATCAAACAACACCAAAATAATGTGGTACAATGTTAATTATTTAACAATTAATAAATGAGGCTGAGTATCTTAGTCAATTCGTGAAGGAGGCGTGGCTCTGAGCGTGGGTCATCCACGCGGAACACACTCGCGCTATGTGATTGGCTGTTGTCTAATTCCCCTTGGGATCTGTGGTCTTAAAAATAATTCGAGAGGAATTACCTGTGGAATAGTGGGTGTATGGGGGATGCCTTCTTTCCCCTTTATCCTCTCTTGTGGCCAGTCAATGTTAATTTTTTAGCTTATTATCAATGTGATGCCCAATTATAGCTGTAGCCTATTTAAATTTTTACTTTTAGCTTTTTCTCATTGTAATGCGTAATTGAAAACTTTTACATGAGACAGTTGCACGATATAAATATAGATTAATATAAATTAAAATTCTTTATTTTAGGGGCGCAATATTAGTTGACTTAGGTGAGCCACTCTCCTTTTCATTGTTCAGTTTTGTTTTGTTTTTTTTACTTCTTTTGCAACAAACGTATTTAAATGTAATGATCTTCACGTACTGTAAACTGTCTGTGACTAAAGCACTAACGTTTGTCTGTGATTATCTTATATTATTTATAACGGAGTGGGAAAAATAAATATGGTATAGAGCGGTTTTCACTTGACTGTCGAAAGGGATTGGTTTTGGTTTTACTACGCCCTTTGGTTGGCTAGTGTATTTACTTTAGTTTTGGTTTTACGACAGTTAAGTGAAAACCGCTCTAATATAATAAATAATTAACAAGTGCAAAGATAGTGAGTTTGGCCGTGTTGCCAAAACAACTCTGAAGTGAAAATGTGAATTACTAATCAGCCAATAGCGATGTTGTCCATGTGATAGAATATCTTGTTAAAATTCTATCGTTTCCTTTTTTTTTTTTTATATAGCCTACTAGATCTTCTTAGTTTCTTTCTGGCGTAGTAAATTTAACTGGAATTTTTCGGTGAGTTCGATTACCGAACTCAATCGAACCAATCGAACTCAATCGACGCGATTAGTTCGATTTTGTTTGGAGGAAAAGACCGTCAAAAGGCATCCAGTTTCAATTGAATCGGAAAGATCTCCCTCTAGTATGTATTTGAAGCAGTTTGAAAACAAGAATTTTTCAATGAAGTGATTCATAATCGATAAATTCACAATTAATACTGGGAAACGTGCAAGCACGGGCACCAGTTCACGTTGAAAATGTCCAAGTTGGCCGCGGCCATCGTCAGTTACCTTCAGAGCTGGATTTTGCAGAATACCAGTTGTATTAGAAAACCGCAGGTCATCTCGGGGGGGGTGGGGGGGGTGCCCATCCCCTGTACCCTCCCTCTAGATCCGCTGCTGCTTTGGCTAGCTGCACGTTGGAAAGCAACTGTGGGAAATCACGGCGTCGTTACATCTGTTACATAGTCGGCTAAAAGAACAATTTCATTACACATAGTAGTAGACTAGATTACCAGCATTTCTGTGTGCCCGTAAGTAAGAGCTATTTTAAATTTCAAAAATGCTGCGTAATCGGCCGTCGTTTGAGGAATAAAGACTATTTTACTTCATTGTTCAGTACTAAGAACGTTCTTATAATTAACTCGGTCAGTATTAAAAGAGCGGCAAAGAAGGTTACTGATCTTACTACACTGCCTGGACTTCGGGTCTCAATTGGTAAAAAAAAAGAACGTGTGACTCTGTCAAACCCACCTCCCTAACTAAACTCGTCACCATATTTAACTAAATCGTACAAACTTGGGTGATATTCATCTGCAGCCTTATTTCCAAAGGCAAAAAACCAATCTCCTCTCATTTCACAGGAGGCCCATCTCCTATTACTGCACAGGCAGCCCAAACTTCAATAAGGCCTCCAAAAAATTATGAAACAATGAACAAACACCAAAACGCAGTAGAATACGTTACAAGTAAGTCTTTTTTATTCATTTTGTCCAACAAAAGTCACTGTCGACAACAACAGTCCTATTCAGGACTACGTTCACCCGGACGATCAAACTCAACCTACTTTTGAAAAGTTTAGACGTATCTTTCAGTCGGCGTTCGGATGTCTCGGTATTACCTCTATGGCGTTCCAAGCTCACTCAGTACAAGGGCGACAGAGTGGTATCGCTTAACAGGTAGCCTGTGAACATTCCCCTTTTTATAACTCGAAATAATCGATAATACTGAGGTTTCCGAACCCTAAATATCGTTGTATTAACCTTTTTTCAATAAAATAAATAAAGAAGACTTCCCCTTATATATTCCTGTGCACTACTTGTATTTTGGCTTGAATTCATCGATCTGGTCAAGTTCTTGGCTTTAATGCGAAAGCCTTGTACGTCTCTCCAGCATTTGTATAGGTAATAGCAAGAATAGTAAAGATCATTGGCATAAATACCACTAGTGATATTTCAAAATTGTTAAACGTAATTTCACAAGTCGTTAGGCGAGTGAAATGTGAGACAATTTTGAAATATCAAATGGTATTTATGTCAAATATCATGCTATTATTTGTCTTTACTTCTACCATAAAAGGTTTGTAATTTTCACATGTAGGTAATTCCACTCCTGTAATACCACTGCTGTAAGCCAATTGCAGAAATGTAGTAGTATAACGAGGGGAAACCAGTAGTGACGTCGCGAAATGTTGGCTGATTTCTCAGGCCGCTTTCTAAAGGTCAGAACTGGGCGGTGGACCGGTCATTTTGAAACGAACTAGCCTTTTTAAAAAATATTCTCCTTACGTCATCGACAGAAATGGTCTACCGGCGAAAGGCACTGGGATGCCTGTGATTTCTTTTATCCGCTACCCACCCTACCCTCAGTAAGTTCTTTAGCTATCACATGACGTTTGCCTCGCGAAGGATTTTCAAGATGGCGTCTCAGTCACAGGGAATTCAACAGCTCTTACAGGCAGAAAAAAAGGCCGAGACCATGGTATCTGAAGCTCGAAAACGTACGTAAATTCACTTCAATGTCTAAAATTTTTAAGCTGTGATTCTTAGTTAGTATGATTGAAAGGCTGCAAAATTTGGGCGGTCTTCTGGTTCAGACTGAAACATCTGTAACTTGCATGTCTCGATTTATTTCTCGATTCGAAGCCGTTTTGACTGGTTTTAAACAGAGGAAGTCCCGCATTAAACTTTTACTGTTGTTTTGGGTAACTGCAATATACAATGAAATTTTATTTGACGTTTAAATATGCTCAATTCCTATTTTCCTTCAATTGGACACATAGTCGTTATCAAGAACAAATGCATGGTTGTCTTCATCAAAGTGTAATGGTTTATCGATTTTACCGGTAGCAGAAGCGATTTTTTGCAGGCGTACGTTTCCACTATCCCTTTCAGATAATTTAGTTTTGTGTGCAGATTTAGTCGTATGTGGTTGTTAGTTTCACGTTGCCGGAATACACCACTACGAGTAGGGGGTGTTATAAAAACTCAGAACTCAGTCCCACGAAAAACTCAGACTTTCAGGTGTCTCAAAGCTAAGGGTGTGAGTTTTTCAGGGGTCTGAGTTTTCAAAACACCCAACAGTCTGGGTTTTTTACAGGGTCTGAGTTTTCATAACAGCAAGTAGGATCTTTCAAAGTTTGTGTGCACCATAAAATTACTTATCACTTCAATCTTATCCCTGAGGCAGGAGCCCATAACATGGAGTGTACCATTCCCTTCTTAGTCTACGCATCGGAGTTTTCACAGGGCACCTTATTTTTATCATCAACACATTTTGTTATAAGGTTATAGAGGGTCTTTTCCATGTATTTTACTATCACTGGGATGAAGAATGACAATCTTCATTGTTGTATATTATTAAAAACTAAATATTTGGATCATGCAATTCTAAAGCTCTGATTGGCTTAGCCATCATGGTATATGAGTCATTATACCATGCTCTCCAAATATGGTAACTGTATACATCTGGTCAAAATTAAAAATATGCTGAAAATCGGTTGTTTTTACAGACAACGTCGGGAAGAATTCTCGATATTTGGTTGCCATTTTTTTGTTGTTGTTGGATATGAGATGATTATAGCCAAAAGGGGCACTACACGCCTTGTTGGCTATCTTTGATCTCACATATATCGAGGACATTACTAGCATATCAAGGTTTCACTGTATGCACTTGTTCTCGATTTTGTACTTGTAGTCAAATCTATAGCATGTCCTAATGATGCAGTGCTACTAAAAGATATTTTGAAATGAACTAAGATGACATGTCTGAAATGAATATTATGTATATTTTTGTTTAGGGAAGACACAGAAACTGAAAAGGGCTAAAGAGGAAGCTCAAGCAGAAATCAGGAATTATAGGGAAGAACGTGAAAAGCAGTTTGTAGAGTATCAGAGAGAAGTAAGTCTTATGCATGGAGCTTACGTGTATGCACAAATGTAAGCCGTAATTATGTCATTGATGATGGCCGCAAAAATGTCGCTCAAAATAATATAGATGTTCATTAGCGATGCCTGTGTAGATATATTTACATGTAAGTTGGCACATTAATTTTTGGAAAATTGCATTAATTTGACTGCACAATGGAATAGATTGTTACTCTCAGCTTGTGCAAAACATTGGCTCACAAGTAAATTAATTCAAGATCATGTTGTGAACGTGTTGATTAATAAAGTCTTTTTTTCCTATATTTTTTGGAGTTTTGAATCTGTCTCTAAGAAAATAATTTCAGCAGTCACTATGTCATTGATTATGGCAGCAAAAATGTCACTTAAAAATAATTTGGATGTTCCTTAGCAATGCCTGTGTAGACATATTTTAGTTGGCATATGATTTTTTTTGAAAATTGTGTTAGTTTGATTGAACAATGGAACAAATTGCTACTCTCAGCTTGTAAATACATGGATGATCATCAGCTCAGGATAATTTGTGCAAAACTTTGGCTCACAATTCAAGATCATCTGGTGAATGTGATAATGTAACAGTTAACTTTTTATATATCTTTTGGTGTTTTGAATCTCTCTCTAAATTAATTTTAGCTTGCTCCTGGATGATACATTGACATTGAGCAAACTACATTGGAACAATAGGCAAATTTTGATATAACTATTAAAATATTATTCATTCCTGGCTCTGAGGCTGAGGGAAGAAACAAAGAAATGATTTTATTATGAGGTCCAGGATATACGTATTTGTTTGTGAAATATTATTCATTCTATTCGAAAATAAGCTTTACTCTAAACTCTCTTTCTTTCCACCTAGTGGCATAAAATGAATGGGTAATACTAATACCTTAAAGTCATAGTTAAAATCAGCCATCTCCCCACCTCCTAACCCCACCCCAACCCTTGTAGTTACTGATATTCCCATCTGTTTTAAACAGAGGTTTTATTTTATGCTGGCTTTAGAGTCATCTAACTGTATGTATCTACATTTACTGTGAAACTCACAAAACTGTGAACACCAGAAATATTTATGGAATGTTATTGTGTTGTGAGGAAATAGCCAATAAGGTGTGATAAAACTAAACTGCGAATAGCAATGGTAATTCCTGGATTTTTCAGGTGTTCCCAATTTTCTGCGTTTGACAGTAATAGCTATATGTACATGTAGTTGGCACTCATGATAATAACTTTTTGTTTGTCCATAGCACATGGGCTCTAAAGATGATTTCCAGGCTAAAATTGAGGAGCAAACAACTGTTCGACTTCAGCAAGTCAGTGACAGTGTGAACCAGAATAAGAACAAGGTGATAGAAAGGCTTCTGAGTCTTGTGTATGACATCAAACCTGAACTTCACGAGAATCTAAGGACATAGAAGAAGAGAGAACACGTATACACAAGAACTCTTTTAAAATTAAATTTGTCCGTCATTACATGTCAGAAAGGTGTATTGAAATTATTGAATACACAGTAAATTTTTTTCATGGCCGAATGGTAAGCAGTGAGTAGAATTCTTCTGGACAGGAAATTGCAATGGTGACTGTATGCTTCCTTTCAGGATTGTCATTTAGAGTGATTAATACTTTGTTATTGTTAAGCTGGCTTGAATCTTTATTGTTGAGAAATGTTTTACTTTTACTACCATAGGTACAATTGATTTGTTGTATTAGAATTGGTAATGTATCAGGGAGTGAACTTTACATCTTATTTATGACTGATACAATTTTAAAAGTTAATTATCTCTGTGAACAATCTGTGAATTATGCTACATTGACGTACCATACACTGTAAAATGTAGTTGAATTGTTAAGTGATACTACTGTATGCTGGAAAGAGAAAATAAAACTGCAATAAGTAATAAAAGTTGCCATGGTAATGTTCAAATAGAGAGTTACATGTGTTTTTGTGGTGTGTAATATCAGGAATTCACTTACTTGAATGCAGTACAGTGGAAACTTGCTCTAGGGACACCCACTTAATATGTTCACCCATATTCATGTATATTGGATAGTTTTGTTGGTTCTGACAGAAAGCTTATTATGCTTTCTATAACATTAACCTGCTCAATATGGACACCAGTAAATAAGGACGATGGACACTTTTCTGTGTCCCTAGTTACAAACTCTCATACATCGTCAACCCCACTTTACGGACACTGGTTACCTGCACACTGTCTACACTGTATTTTCATTGTCTCAATCATGTCAATGTGCTAATTGTAGACATTGTTCCAGTTAAAGTGATGACAGATTTCTATGAATTAAAAATACAATTTTATTATTTAAAAACAGTAGAGAAATAGCATGACATGTTTGAAGACTGTCTTTCTTCCCATGTTGACCCTTGTACGGAAGCCCTCCTACTTCACAAGTTTGACTTGCTTGGCTTTGTGTCTGTTTAGCCTTAATGTCAACAAATCATGTGTCCATGACATTTTTTCTGAGAGCCCGCTTAAAACAGACACTCAGATAATACAGACACTACTGCATGTCTCCCCAGTGTCTCTATTAACTGGGTTCCACTGTATTTTTGTAGGATTTATTTGCACGAGTGTGCTTTTCAAAAAGTATCAAAATTATGTATTTTAAATTTTTTGACAAACACACAAGTGGAAATAAATTCCAAATTGAATGAGCAAAGTCAGAGAATTTTTTTAGCCTTTAGTAGTATACATTAAAGAACTTACAAACTGGATCAAAATTCGTCCCCACAAAAGTGCAACAATGCAATTCAACACAACCCGGTTCACACAACATCTCACCACTTTTCCCGCTCTAGGTTCAGAATCTCAACATTTTTCTGCCTTTTGGGAGTAGACAAGTCTGGAGAGTTACCTATATCATGTTCACCTGTGTAGCTGTGTAGCTATGAAATATTGATATGCAGTCACCTGTATTAGACAGTCAGCCTTAGGGAATAGCCAACTGACTGCTTAATACAGGTTGACCGTTTAACTCAAGTTTGACAAACCTATGAGTTTATGAAGAAAATAAAGATGCTGACCAAGTGAAATATCCATCTAACAACAAATTGTTCTCAAAGTGTTTCTACCTCTTCTAGTGTGAAAAGAAAGAAAGTAAAAGACCAATAAATGCCATGCACAGTGTATTTATTAGACTGGTACATGTACAGTACATTTAGACAAAGTGACTGTTTAATAGAAGTGACAACAAAAAATAACTCTTTCGGACCTCAGACAAGGGGACTGCAACCACTTAATGTAGGTGACCAGTTCTGGGGCTTTGGTAAGTGACCGTTAATTAATGGAGGGTGACCGCCTAATACAAGTTCGCTTAATACAGGTTTCACTGTAAGCTAAAACTGCTTTTAAGGTAACAATGTTGATCTCAAAAGACACACAATTCCAAGCCTTGTCTGTTTACAATGTAAGGCATCTAATTACAAATCACATGTCACATGGGTGTGTGTGACCTCACATGTAAATTCGATCCACAGCTTCTATTTTCTATTTGTGTATAGCCAATTAAGTTTTTACTATAAACCTCACTTTGTGATGAAAAAGAACAGAGAATATATTGGCTAACGGGCCTGGTCGCAATAACTATAGGCCTTGAATAACAACATATTTCATACCTTGTATCACTTTTCCTTTCTTATATCCAAGGGATATTTTGAATGATCTTCAGGGTTGTCATTAAGAGCCGGGGGCCAGGGTTTTTCCCCGGCTACTAAGAGGGTGACCCCCGGCTACTTTTATTGGAAAATAGAAGAAAAATAGAACCAAAAGAAATCCCTAACCGTTTGATTCCCCGCCTACTTGTTGTATTTACCTGGCAACTTGAAATCTTAGTGACAACCCTGGATCTTTATCAGAGCTAACAAACTTTTATTGCATAATTCTTTGATTGTGTAGCAAATTTCAAAGTGCAAATAAAATAATAATATACATTATACTTTTTTTAATTTTTCAAAAATAAGAATGTCACTGGCTAAGTGGTTTACAGTATGGTGAGAAAGGGACTTGCATAGATGACCAGGGCCCATTTGTTTGAAGGCCAATTAGCGCTAACCCGGGTTAAATTTTAACCAGGGTCTCTTTCTTTTCATCAAAAGCATTTTCTTGGACAATCTTCTCTATTCTTTTCAGAGTAGCCAATCATCAAATTGTTGACAAAAAGAATTAAAGTGAATTTGCTTTTCAAGCTTTCATATCTGAATTCAAACTTTGATCTAACCCTGGGTTATCTTAACCCAGCTTTGAACAACTCAGCCCTGGATGTAGACTTGCCCACAAGTCAAGCTAAAATTTTTTCTTGAGTGCGAAGCATGAGTAGGAGATTTCTCTCAGTTTTCTGCAGCGAAAGTGAGCAAGAGAGCGTGCTGGGAACTACAGTGTACTAGCGGAACAGGAAGTAAGAAGCGAAGGACTTTGAGAGAGTTAATGACCATGCAAAGGCTACAGCTGTGTGGTTTTCCATTGGTGAAACCACTTGTAAACAAAAACTGCTTAACTGTTTACACTAAGTATAATACATGTAATGATAGTATCTGTAAAAACTGAAACATCTTTAAGTTCATTACATGCATTACTTATAATATCGTGGTGGGGCTGGGTATCCTGGTTGAGGTTGGTATGGAGGCGGTGCTTGGCCCACGGGATAAGGGCCTGCTGGGCGATATGCCTGCTGTGGGTAAGGTGCAGCTGGAGGGATTGTAGTGACTGTTGCACCCCGTGGGACACTCACTACTTGCACCCCTCCTCCTGGGGGCGATACATATGTTGTTGTTTGGTATGCAACTGGTCTTTGGACAACAGCACCGCGCTGGGCAGGACGACCAAACAGGGCACCACATGCTCCTTCCACAATATTAAATGCACCAGTGACAGCTTTATCAGCAACTCTGAATACTGGGTCGCTTGGATCTACAGTTGGGTTGGGTCTGCCATAAGGATAGGGATTACCGGCGACGGCAGGATTTACTGGAGGTGGGGGCTGGGGAGGTACCATGGTAGCTCGTCGTTGCATGATATTTCTCACTCGCTCCCGTTCATTGATATAAGGAAAAACGTCGTTGAGCACCATGAAGTTTAGTGGATCCACCACCTTAACCGAGACTAGCTCTAACGCGGAAACTTTGTTGTTATCGAAGTTGAACGCCCGAAGCAAGGGAATTAAACCGGCACAGGTCGCTGGAAGCATCTTGCCAACACAAGCTTGGAGTGCTTTCAAGCGGCCATCATCAAAACTGAATTCTCGCATCAATTCGCCAACTTGTTCGGCGTAGAAATTTCCCTGTGCATAAGCAATGGCTTTCACTTTGTCGTCTTTGAAAGGAAGACGCTGAACTTCCCCCTTGACGATTCCAAATGATGTAGGATCCATCTAGTTCAAACGTTCACGCGTCGTAACTTACTATACGTCGTACCTCTCGTTTGAAAAGAGTGTTGAACGCCAGAAATCAATCTCGGAAATGAAATACTTGTATATGGCGCTTTAGCAAAGTGCTTACATCATATGCCACAAATAGCGATTATTTGCGCAGGTGTGACTTGACAAATAACACAATAAAACACCCACATACTCGACCCTTCAATTCTTCTACCATTTTGACCGTGAGATTTATTGACGATGTGAGACCTAAGTACCAAAATATATCGGCAATCCTCGGCCGATATTCGATTAGAAACCGAAGGAATACGGAAAAACGAAAGTTTCAAAACATGGCAGACGAAATAACTTCACAAGCTCCCTGACCCTTTCTATTTACGCACAACCAACAACGGTAGTATTTCAAGGTTCAAAGAAAGATGGAATCGCAAAATTTAAGAACCCCTTTGCGAAAAGTTTTCAAGCACAGTGACTTCAAGTCAAAACTTCAGAATGAAGCTGTAAAGTGTATTCATGGCGGTAGGTCGCGGAGAATTGAAACTTCATAACTTTCAACTTTCTCTCAAGCTAAAATCTGAAAGTTGTTTTGTTTTTCTGTGAAAGCTTAAAAGGAACAGTTTTAGCCTTTTTAATTAACAAATTATTCAAACCAGAACCAGAATTTACAAGTTTTAAGATATGGTATAAATCTTTACCATCAGATTGGTGAAAGATCGGGGGGAGGGGGGAGGGGGTGCTTTTGGTGGGGTAGTGAGTAATAGGACTAAGGACGGAGGTGAGTAAGAGGGACCTAATCTCCCAAAATTGAAGGCCATATCAAGGATTTGTCATTAAAGAGGCTGGCATTAATGGTACATGAAGACTCACATGGGTGGTTCAAGCATGTTTTTTCTATTTTTTCAAACAGGAAAACAAGATGTTTTTGTTTCAATGCCAACTGGGTCTGGAAAATCGCTCTGTTACCAACTACCGGCGGTCTTGGCTGAGGGAATAACTATTGTATTTTCTCCACTTATTGCCCTCATTCAAGATCAAGTGTCACGCTTAAAGTCCCTCTCCATCTCAGCCGAAACACTTAACTCAAAACTCCCTGCTACTGAAAGAAAACAAATTTATGGTGAACTTGAAAAGCTGAACCCCTCCATCAAGCTTTTATATATCACACCTGAGCTTGCTGCAACACCTGGATTTCAGAAAGTTTTAAATTCTCTGCACAAGAGAAAGCTACTTTCGTTCTTTGTGGTGGATGAAGCCCATTGTGTGTCACAGTGGGGACATGACTTTAGACCTGATTATTTAAAGCTTGGTTCACTACGGACAGAGTTTAATGACGTTCCCTGGATAGCACTAACAGCTACGGCCACTCCACGTGTCCAAACAGATGTTCTTACATCTCTTCATTTACACAAACCGACAGCAATCTTTAAAACCTCCTGTTATCGTCCAAATTTGTTTTATGATGTGTGGTATGTAGTTTGAGAGCCTTAAAATAAAATTTAACATTTACCTGTGGCCAGTATAGAGGCAACAGTATCTTGGTCAAGGCCTTCAGGTAGATTTGGGGGCACAAGCAAGAGCAGGGAAAGGGAATAAAAGTAGCGCTTTTAGGTGTGTTATTGTTCTGTCTCTGTCTTCCGCACATACACACAATAAACGACACATCAAAAGGTGTCAAAAATGTATTGTTGGCGAGATAACGTCAGAGAATTCCAGTGCCCTGGACTTAAGCAAAACTTGAGATGCAAGTGGCAGAAAAACAGTACAAGAACATGCTGTTTGATCTTGCTAATAGAGAAGCAATCACTGGTGCATGAGGTCTTGCTGAAACAAAATCACCAATGGTCAGCATACCATTCTTGTGCGCTGCTTTGCAAAGTGGGGTGCCAGATGCTGGAGATTTTAACTGCCTTGCTCTAACTACTTCCATCACAAGCATAAATCACACATCATGCCTCACATGGTACAAATCAACCAGTAAGAACTTTCCTTTTCCAGATGAACATCTTGAAGAGATGACCTATCTTTGGGTGTTTTTTTTCTCTCTTCCCCCCTCCCTTGCATGTCTTGCACTGTTACATTAGCACCCCCAAACCTGTCTGAGTGCCCCCAATTATGCCTGTTGCATGAAGGCTTAGACAACCAAGGCAGTCATCTCATTATAAAAAAAAAGTTTTGAAGTTTCTTCTGTGCTATAAAGAACAGTGAAAGGATACTAGCAAATCATGCATAGCAAGTCAATGCTTGTATTATTATGAGTATCATGAATAAAGTTTGGTGTTTATAACCCTCTTAAATGCAATTTTTTTTATCTTTTTTTCCTGACTCAAGTTTCAAGGAACTTCTTGATGACCCTTATGCTGATCTTAAAAGTTTTGCCGAGTCAGCATTATCAGAGCAGGATAGCAGTGATGGAGAGAAGGTAATAGATCTATTCACTTGCTATATTTGCATAGGCTGTCATTATTTCTTCACAATAATTGGCTACTTTTTCCATGTTGAAGATAATAAATTCTTAAACTATTTTTTTCTGTAGGGAAGTGGAATTATTTATTGTCGTACTCGAGATGCTTGTCAAGAAGTAGCTTCAAGACTGAGTAGAAAAGGACTTGCTGCAAAGGCTTATCATGCAGGTAATTTACTTTTTAATTGAAATGATGAACACACAAAATTCATATCTTCAACATTGCATCTTCACCTTTCCCAGTTATATTACCAACCAATTTATTTTTATTAATGATTATCAGCTCCAAGTTGGCTTGCTAGCTTAATTGGTTAGAGCCCTGCACTGGTTTCACAAAGGTCAGGGTTCGAATCCTGGCAAGCCTGAATGTTCTCGTTATTTTTTGTGTTGAGTCTGTATTTTAATAGGGTTCAATATAGTCAAGGTGTAGCAAAAATGTTTTCGGCCCCATAGCCTCACTCTAGAGTACTGAAATAAGCTGCCACAGGCCTAGACATTTTAAATTAAGCTGCCTGACAAGCAAAAAAGTTTGTCAGCTTGCAAAGAGGCGGTGTTACAATTTTTCTACTTGAATTATGAAGGTTCATGGGTCTCTCACCATTTCACAAAGTCACCCCGGCGCAACATAGGAAAGATGTTAGTGAAGTATTTTAAAATGTGGATTCATTAGATTTGCTTACTGATGAAATCCCTGCATATAGCTTGGGGTAATCTCCTCAGAACATGGGCAAAGGGGAGCCTTGTTCCTAGAGGCCAGGTTACGGTACTTGTGATCAAGGTAGAGGTCTAACCTACAGCTTTTTTTGATAGCAAGCAACTGCAATAAGCAAATGTAGCCAACAAAACAAGATAATTAATTAATCTGCTCTTCTTATTTTCTCCTTATCACGCTGGTATTCAACGGAATTTAGTTTCAACTTTGTATTTGTGAATCTTTCCTGTGTGCATTTTCAGGTATTGTATATTTACAAGTATACTGTTCAACTCCACAGGCCTTAATCAAACAAAACGTGATGAAATCCAACAGGAATGGATGGATGGCAAAGTCCCCATCATTGTGGCGACAATAAGTTTTGGTATGGGAGTAGACAAAGCATCCGTGAGGTAAATTACTATGAAGTCTTTTTCGCAAAATACTGAGATTCATACAAATTGTATGAAGAGGGAAGATTTTGCCATGCAATTAATGATCATGACAATGACTTTTATATTTTACTTAAAGAGAGTACAACTACCAGAATTCGTTTAGTGGCTTTTAGTGGGTTGCTTTTTATTAAAATTGATCAGTCAGTTGAGATTTAAACAAAAGTAGCTGGATACAAACTTAGTAATTTTTACGGCAAAGCAACAAACCAAAGGATTGTGTTGGTTGAACTAAGCTTATAAATGTCACCATCATGCGAATGGTTTATTGAGGTATACTGTATGATAGATACGGATTTTCTGAATTGTGAATTGTGAACTCAGGATTTCTGTTTAATCTAACTCCACCCCATAACTAAAAGTAACTCTAAGTAAGAATAGCCGGCCGCTTTTGTTCAAGTGTTAAACTTTTTTTAACCTGTAGGTTTGATTATTGGATTGGCTATTCTATACCACTATTTACTTACAGCTCACAAAGAGCTGCCCTAACTGTTGTTAGTTTAGAAACTGATTTCTGTAAAATTCCAAGAATAAGCATCAGGGCCCAGTTGTTCAAAATTTGGATAACGCTATCCTCTGGACAAATCTCTACCCAGTGGATAGCGCGAATGGTTTCCCTCATACTTATCTGCTGGAAAATGATTTATCCGGTGGATAGCCCTGTCCAACGTTTGAACAACTGTGGCCAAGTCCTATATCTTTTAAAGGCCTTGTTTAGCGGCGTATTTTCGTAGGGACTTCTTTACCGCGGATGGGTTTATTAGTGGGAAATTTGCGTTTTAATGTAGGCTGGGGTTATACTCGAAGAAACGTGTGTCATAAATTTTCGATAAACTGATCGTAATTTCAGGACATTGATTTCAAACCCCAGTGGTAAAGCGTTCAAAGTGGCAATGGAATACTGTAACAATAGTACCCTCAACAACATCAATGACACACCATTTGTTCAGTAGTTTGTAGTTCATAGCGTAGCGTATTCATAGTACCAGTCAAACGTGTGAAAACTCTTATCTTGGCCTCTCCCATACAGTTCGATATGGTATGGTTTAGTTATAATGCGGGGGCAGTTCCCATGTATAACCTCATTGGGATTAATGTACGGATTTTTTTTTAAGGACGCTTCTGAGGGGCTTATTTTTGGAATTTACCACGTATATTCTGGCCAATCATTACGCAGGCTGACAGTCAAATAAGCCAATAACATCTCAAACTAGCAATGTCTTTTTGCCAAACGTGGTGAAACCTACAGTTCAAGCTTTATTTTTATGCGCTCACAAGCGCCTGGGATCTTAAACCGTTACTCATGTTTCACGCTTCTCGCGGAAAAGCCTAAGTCAGCAAGTCATGATTTATTCCGGGTTTTAAGTGTGGTTGGCTGAGAAAATGGGGTTAATCTTTTTAACCAATGCACAAACAAAGCAATAACGAAATTGCTTCCATTCCACATGACATCTTGATATGTTTCTAACCCACGTTTCCCTAGGTTTGTTGTTCATTGGACGTTACCACAGTCAATGGAAGGTTACTACCAAGAATCGGGCAGAGCTGGCAGGGACGGGAAACCTTCATTCTGTCGATTATACTATTCCAGGTTGGTCAAAGACAAACAGTGCACGAGCTACCTCTTTTAATGTTCTCTTAGAATCAAAAATGAACATTTAATCTGAGCTGTTATTAGTATAGGTAATCACATGATTTCGAGTACAATTTGGAATAAATAAGCACGAGTAAATTTTTCAAAGACCAACAAAAGTGCACGAGCCCGTAGGGCGAGTGCACTTTGTAGTCTTTGAAAAATTTACACGTGCTTATTTATTCCAAATTGCACGAGAAAAATCATGTGATTACTTATTAATAATATACACGAAAAACTTAACTACAACAACAAATTTTGACAGGGCGCGCGTTTTTAGTTCATTCAACTGATTGGCTGAAACAGACTACTACCTTTGTCAAATTCAAACTTTTTCAAGACCAACGCTTTCAAAATCATTTTAGCTAAGAACCTGGAAAGGAAATGTGCAAGGATTGATTTTATATGGTCACCAGCCTGTTAAAGATAACTTGGTTTACAATAATCAGCAAAAGTAAGTGTTTTTAAATTCATCCTCGATTATGAGAGCTCGGCGTTTACAAGAAGTATACTGCCGTTTTCAAATCAGGAGAACGTTTCGCGCACCCAAAGATGAAAGACTTGCTAAGGTTTTTTAACGACTGTTCATCATTGTTTGTTCCTAAGACCCCCATCAGCCGGATTCACGGAGAAATTTTTGAGATTTAAAATCCGAAAGTGAAGGAGGCAATTTGTTTTCTTTCGACGCTGCCATCGATGAGTGAGTGGAGCCACAGTTGTTGTGATGTCGGAAACTGCCAGTATTAATACAAAATTTGCTTTTTCTCAGCGCTTGGGTTTTCATTATTTCATGCAAGAGTCATCGTAGCTCTTCTTAGTCGACTTCGTCGTAGTCGTTAAGGAAATTCATGCGTCTGTGGCCTGTGACATTGGCGATATGTTCTGAACTTACAATTTTTGCTTTCTTAAGCTTCCTGAATGTTGTTTTTCTTGCACAATGATTCGTAAACTTTTTTCTCACTTTCTTTAAGGCTAGTACCAGCTACGGATACTTTCATTATGTTTGTTATGGTATTTTCGCCCATTGGTTTAGTTTGGACCAGATGTTTAAATTTTCGGTTTCTTTCGCTACTGAGGTAGAAAAAAACAGACCATCGCATGGATGTTTTAATAGAGGTCTTCTCTCCACAAAAGACTCCAAGACAGCAACCGGACACCTTTCTCCTCCAACAAATAACGTGCATCAAAAACTTGTATCCTTGTTCATTTAAATGCCTGAAAAGTGTAGCTGTCATGGTTTGCATCTGGTTGCAACCGTAATTATTCTTTATTTTTTTACTTTAGCGTAGTCTTTTATAAGTAGTTTGTTTTTTAGGTACTCTGGTTCATTTTCCTCGATTTTGTTGACAGTATTTTTCTCTTAGCAACGCATTTTCAATACATTTAGCCAGAAAGACGAACTTTTTACTGTGTTCGGGTTTTTGGAATATTTTTCTAACTTTTCTATTGTTGGTTTGCGTACAAAATTAAATCCCGTCGTCGTCTGCTGTAAACCATGGCCATTTTCTTGAATTTTGTTGCTAAAACAGCTCTAATCTGATTGGTTATTGGTGGTTTCTTTTGCGTTTTCAGCCAATCAGAATGCATTTGTAATTTGCACTCGTGTTACAAGTTTGCACTCGTGTTACACATTTTGCACTCGTGTTACAGAAGAGCTGCACTCCTTTCTCAGCCAATCAGAATTGAGTAATTTTTTCGTGTATATTATTAATGTAGAAATTCGAGAGTTGCGTGCCACAAGCAAACTGCATATAAAATTCATATGTTGCACGGAGAATGCTCGTTCTTAGTTCACTCGACTAGGGAGACTGTCGATTCTTTAGAATAGAAATGGACATGCTCGTGCTATAAATTTATGCTGAAAACTATATTTTGCCGGCTTTGGAGTAACGATATTTTACGACTGGCTGACACTAAACCAATTTTGCGCGCCATGACCAGCGTTTTGGCTAACTCCGTGCCAAAAAGTTGGAATTAAGTAAAACACGGAAATAAATGTTTCGTTGTTGTTGTTGTCACTTCTTTAAGTTCTGAACCATTTGGTGTATTTGGTATTACAGACTTGAAAGGGATCAAGTATTTTTTCTGATTAAAAAAGGAATCAAGGAGAAGAAGGTAACAGTAATGACAGTATAGTATATAGAGTATAGACATAATCCGTACACGGACGCAAGCACAACTGCAAGCACAAGTAAACGGTAAAATTTCCATCCTTGCTCTTGCCAGTTTGCGTCTCCTTCTGTTTTTCCCCTTCCGCTGTTGTTTTGCCGGCTCTCTACATTTATTTTATTGACAGTAAAATATACGAGACTATTCCACTTCAGTTTGCAAGATGTTTCACTTTTCACTTTTCTACGAGTAAAACTCTGCTTTATGGCCTCAACATACAAATTTTCTCGTTGAATGTTTGCGAAATCCTGCGAAGCCTGTACATGTAAAAGGCAAGAATTTTGGCGCGAAACTCACACATCGCTTTGGCTTTTGATTGGATGTATCATTTCTCTCGCACATGAAGAAATATCGTTCGCGCTTCTGATTGGACGTATCCTATCCTCGTTTGCTCCTCTGATTGGCTAGAACTCATTCGACGTAGCTTTTCATTGAGAATACATCTCAGTATGTATAAATAAAAGAAGGTACAGTATCCACGCCCCTTTGTGCTTTTTTCGCCAGAAAGAGCGAAAAAATAGAGCCTGTTTTGCGGACTAGCCGTTTTGTGCGCCCGCGTTACTTACCTCACATGAGGGGGGATGCAAAATGGACTCCCTCCAAGTTGAATCCGGAAAAAACTTCCTTTTGTGTAAATGTAGTTTTAGTCTGCTTGTTTTGTTTTTAAAAGGCAACGAATACGAAAAAAAAGAATGAGGCGGTTCAATCCAGCTACGAGGCGATTGTCAAATACTGTGAGCAGCCACGGTAAGTGTGAAAAAGTAGGATCTATAAATTAAAGGTTATGTTTCCTTTAAACGTCGCCCTAACACCCAGGGTTCAACAACCCGGCGCAGATATCTACGTGAAATATCTTGAACCCAGCACGCAATTTTTTAAAACCGTCGCTGCCATTTCAGACCTATTCTCTAAGGAGGTGCAGTACTGTACTGTAAAAACCTACTTTTATATACTGATATGAATTATTGCTTTAAGAATTTTTAAAACCTAAAAAAATAATTATGGCCTATTAATTCCTATTTGGCTTTTTTTTATTTTTCACTATTTATTATTTTTCTATGACAAAATTGGTGTATTCAACGGGAAATAATCATCATTTATTCATTTTATGTTTACTATTTTTCGTAGCTGCAGACATGCCGTGATAGCTTCATATTTTGGAGACAGTGAGCCGAAGGTACACACATGTACAATTCTCGGAACTTGTTCGAAACTGCTAGTAGTATCGTAAATCCTCCATTAAAGGTGGATTTCTACTGTGGCAGTTCAACTTTTACCTATACGCGCGTACTCACGTAGAAATTATGCGACAGTGGAAATCCACTTTTACTTTACCGCTTCGAATTATCGCCCCGACCCCGCCTTTACCAACCGCCTGACCAAAATCATTGATTGCCTGTTCACATTTAGGGATTTTCTAAGAAACCGCTCCTCTCGAATGAGTGCCTAATGTTGAAAGACGCTGCCTGCAGGGCGCATGTTAGATTATATGACATACTGCTAAGGCTAGGAAACATTCATAGATATAACTTATACTAAGACCCAATCACACTAAAGCAATGCACTTTTTAAAGCTGTTTAGATAAACGTGGTGTAAAATTGCAGTTTTTTTTTACTTGAATCGTATATAAATGACAGTGTGCAATTCTTTTCTACTGATGTTCGGCGCTTAAGGAGCTACTTTACGGTTTTGCTTCTTTTTTTTTCAGTGTGAATGTGGCTCAAAAAGCTTTCACTTGTGATAATCTCACAAAGTACAAAAAGAACCACTTAGCTTAGCCTGCAATCATGAAGCTCATTTAGGAGCTCTGGACGCGAGGGACTTTTTTCCCCTTTGCCCCCCATAGCTTCCCATAGAGGTTGCTCTCAGGCGACATGTAGCTTAAAAGTCTTCCCGTTACGTCGGTAAAAAATAAGGCCATTCCATTTTTATAGTGCAACAAAGGCTGTGATTACTGTAAAGATCCAGACACAGTTGATGAACTTGTGGAGCACTGGCGGCGGGGAGTGATGGCGGGTGCCAACAGGAGCGTGACTGCGGGAAGGACCTACATTGCACATTCAGCATCCAGCGGAGAGGATAGCGACCTGTATGGAGGAGGAAAGTGGGGATATGATACCAAGTAAGTTTATTGTTTTAGTTACCCTTTCCCTTCTTGCGTAGAAGCCAGAATCAAAACTCAGGAAATATTCCAAAATTTTTGGTGTAAGATATTGGTCAACGAATAGTACCAACTGAAAGTCCTCAAAAAATTTCAGTTTTCTGAAAAAATTTCAAAGTCTTGAAATCGAATTCTTAGAATTCAAGGATTTTCAAGGGTTTCCAAGACGAACGAACAATATACATGTCCCTTAACGTTGATAAATAGAAAACCCAATTTTTTCTTTTGCTGTTTTGATATTTTTAGATTTTATGATGATGAAGAAGGAGAAAGCGAAGGTGGGGCTTCTGAGGAAGAGAGAGCTTTCCGATGGAAACTGATCGCGGACGAGTTTGCGAAACGAAGAAAGGTATGACCAAAAATGTGTTAATATATGTTAAAACTGTTGATCATTTACAGAGTATTTACAGATACTGTTTTGAAAAGACTCTGGGAAGTCAGGATAAAAGCGGTTTATCACCCAATCCTTCGGTGGGTATTTCCTTTGTTTAGTTTTTCATCGGTACAGGTTAATACTATTCAAAATATATGGTCCCCCATCGATTAACTGGTTTTCTGTGGAATTCATTTAGTAAAATAATTTCCATTTAAAAGAAAGTGTTCAATATTTTGTCGAAATACTGTTTCCTATATAGTATATTTCACGTCATTTTTATTTACAGATAAATTTCTGACACTTGTCCTGACGCCTTCACTTTGAAATTAGTCCAGTTCAAAAGGTCGGGAAATTATTAGCACTTCAACAAAAAGCAAGTAAAATTATTCACTAATTTTACTAGCGTACCATTTGATTACCCATGAATATCACGTTTGACAAATAACGCTCACATTTCACTTCCAACCGTGGCTTTTTTACTTGTTTATCGTATCGTGAAGTAAATAGCATGAATTTGGCTTAGGTTATTTTAACAAGTTTCCGAAATTTTCGACAAAATTCCTGGTAGAACCCTTTTTGATGTGTTTTTCCGTGTGTTTAGGTTTTCTAAGGCGTCTTTCAGTGCCCGGAAGTCTTCGTTCATAACAATAGAGACCTTAAGATCGAGGTTTGGTCATTTTACTGCAAAAGACAAACTACGACGGTTTGCGGTTAAAGGTTTTACGTTACCCGTCTGCCCATATTTGGGACTTAAGATTCGCGGGTGGTAGCTCGCAGCTGCAACGTTAGTATTCATTCATCCACTACTTCTATTTTAGCTGAGAAATTGTCCTCAAAATTACGTTTTTCTCGAATAGAATTCGATAATAAATAAACAAGAAAGTTCTAAAAAGTCGTATTTCTTCTCACACGTGGGATTGTGATGTTCTAGGGTGCAAAAAACTTTGCGGTAAATCACTTAGCTCGGGAGCGTGGTCTAGCCGTACAAACGTGAACCTCAAACCGCAAACCTGACGGCAAGGCCCTGGTCACGTGACTTCTTGACGTTTGTGGTTCGTGCGAAAAGCCGAAAAACCTCAATCTTAAGGTCTCTAACATAAACCTTCGACGCCATCTTGGCACTGAGACGAACGGAACTTTGCCATGGCAATTTTGTAATTTCACATGTGAAATTAGAAATTAGTATATGTCATGGCATGATTAGTAGTGATATTTGGCATAAATACTACGAGTAATATTTCGAAATTGTTATACGTAATTTCACGAGCCGTTAGGCGAGTGAAATTTGGGACAATTTTGAAATATCATGAGTGGTAATAATGCCAAATATCACAGGCTATTATTTGTTTATACTACTACCCGCAAAAGTTTTGTAATTTTCACATGTAGGTATTTCAAGTTAACCTGAAATACCATTGCTCTGAGCCAATCAAATTGCAGAAATTTCTCATGTAGTAGTATGAGTATAGGTAATAGTATGACTTGTAGTGATATTTGGCATAAATACGACGAGTGATATTTCGAAATTGTTGTCCGTAATTTCACGAGACGTTAGGCGAGTGAAATTGGAGAGAATTTGAAATATCGCAAGTGGTATTTATGCCAAATATCACGTACAAATCATGCTATTATTTGTTTATACTACTACCCACAAAAGGTTTGTAATTTTTACATGTAGGTATTTCAAATTAAGCTGAAATACCACTACTCTAAGCCAATCAAATTGCAGAAATTTCTCAAGTGGTATAAGCGTTGAAAGTTCGCGCTAATTTTTAGGAGTAATTCGTTATCTATGATATTAAGTGACTAATCATCGCCTAGGATGCTCGCTTGAGACGTTCATACTGGTGCATTGCAGCGTGGGAGTGAAGTGAATATTTCCTAAAAAAAAATTGCTTGTCGCTGCGCCAGGACTTGAACTTCTCTTTTTTCTGTCTTGCAGGGAAAACAACTTTCGGCCACTCCAGCCAGCCATCTGATACCTGGTCAGTTCTGGAACAAAATTTTTCAGTCTCAAATACTTTTTCTTTTCTTCGTTTTCCTTTTTTTTTGGTATTTCACCACTTTTGTTTTAACAGTCGTTGATGTTTATGTAAAAAGTTTGCAAACACCTTTGAATTCATAATTAGGTTGAGTATGATCGTACGGGTGAACGATACATCGCGACTTAATTGACTAATCAGGTCAATAACCAGAGTCTAATACCATCAACTGACCTGATACAAGTCACTTTGTCTCTGAAGATTACTACCGCAGAGGTTGTCGAAACTTCAGTCATTGTCAGCAACAACAGTTCTATTCAAGACTACGTTCACCCGGACGATCAAACTCAACCTACTTATAAAATGACTCCTAGGTTCAAACCTTTCACACTTTTGAATTAGCTGTAAATTTTTTGTATCCTGTCTCGAATGTTGCAATGTTGCACTGAATTTATAGAGCTCAAAATTTTAAATGAAACAGGCAATTGATTGTGTGCCCTCAAATGTCACTTGACTGGTCTGCGAGCATGTTCTCGATTTAGCGCTCGAGTTTTCACGACATCCCCTGGATACAGAAATTTCTACAAGCTATCATTGTATGACTTCATTCTAATTTTCCAGGCCCCAACTGTCGCCTTAAGGAATCTACTAACCACCTGCACATCCCAAAACTTACCATCAAGGTAGAGAAAATTGTGTTTCATTGTTGGAACGATAATTTTGAGTTTACAATTTGTTCTTATAACTAAGGTGATTTTTTAAAATACTTTATTTGGTATAAAAGATAGGTTAATAGTTATCTCAGTTAAAGTAACAAGCTTAATGAGTTATAAATGCATACATTTATAATTGCTTGTAATTTTTTACCCGCTTTTGCTGGATCGCTGTTAACGGCATGACGGCCATTTTGGTTGACTTGAAAAAGCAAACTTTCCCCTTCACAGAGCACTCAACTCTTTTTGCATGCAAATTCTGATTTTCAAAAAAATGTATTGGTTTGTCACACAACATGGCCACCTTCTCACGTGGTTGCAAACGAATCCATTCGCTTTTCTTTCAGCTGATTTCTTTCGTTCCTTGATTTTAGAAATATCCTGGCAGCGACACCAGCGAAAATGAATATGCATAGATTTTTGCATAAATTAGTTAGTGAATAAATATAAAATTTGGTTGTTAAGATAGATAGGGTTGAGGCGTCAAAAGGCATTTTTATCATATTCTCTTCCGTTTTCTTCGAGGGTCAACCAGTTTTAACCAAAAACTCAGTGATGAAATGATTTGTTACGATGTGTATCACTGTCGGCACATCTTTGGTTCTCTTTAGGTTAGAGAGCACTGTTTTAGTCTGCTAGAAGAAGCAATGAAATCAAACATAAACCAGTGCGCAACGATGGAAACGAGAACGAGGTAGTTTTAAAATGCTACTATTAAGGGATTAATCATAACTATAACAAAATTGTCAAATCTGATTGGCTCTCAACTGCCCTGATTTCAGCCTTAATTGGACAGTTTAATAGGGCAGTACGCGTCATGCCTAAGTAATTGGACAGTACGCGCCATCACGCGCGCGCTTAAATGGCTTTTTTTTTCACTGCTAGCAAAACAAAATTTCGAATTTCTTGCGTTTTGGTTTAAAAAATAGCCTATTGTATCACAAGTTTTGTTAAAGTTATGATTAATTGGTAACAGAACTTCGTGTCGTCCAATTCAGTCTGTAATCATACTCGTGATTAAACAAATCGGACTCCCGCTACGCGGTCGTCCGATTTTGTTAATCACTCGTATGATTACAGACCGAATTGGACTCCACTCAGTCCTGTTACCATTACTAATTGTCACCTAAACTTTCAATAAATTATAAACAAACTTCAGTTTCTATGAACAACACTTAAGCCTGCGTTGTGAGCGTTTCTGTGTGAGTTCGTTGAGAAACCTGGAGCGAAAGCAAAATAGGAGAAGAACTTTAGAGGAAACGTTTGCAATGCAGGCTAATTCACCTTACAAATCACTGTCAAGGAAAAAAAATTTAATGGTAGTCGTTAGACATAAGGTACTGGACTAACTGTAGATCTTTTTGCAATGGTGCAGTTTTTGAGAGCGATGGCCTGGGTCTGAGCCCCGGCGTCAACGCCATTCTTTAAGTACTCATGGTTCTTTTCTCTTCTCCGAGAGGTTCGCTTAAGAGTACTCCGCTTTTCGTCTCTGCTCAGAAACAAAACATGTATTACTTAATTCTTATTCGATCGGGAAACTTTCTCTGGGCTGTAGTACTTTATTAGGGGGCGTAAGCAGAGAAGATAGAGTCAAAGACCTACACAACATACAATAGAATTGCGTTCCTTTTTTATTCACTTCATTTAGGTTACTTTATGACATGGAGACTACTTCAGTTGATATTGAACATGAAATTTTCAAAAACAGCAAATCTGACGTTGGGTACAAGAACACCATGCTCAGAAAGGTAGTTGTTCTTCTTTTATTGTGCTCTCTTGAAAAGAGCTTTCTAACTATTCACAGCCCTCCTTTTTCTCGGTTTTTATTCGATTGAAGCGAGTTGAAGTAATCCGGTCTGTACTGATGTACTTACCTGAATACTTCACTTAATCCTCTGTTTTCATGTTATTCACAGTCGAGTCATACTGAAGTATCTAACGTAATCAATATTTTCTTTTTGTCTCGTCTTGACCTTTTTGTGCTTTTAACAGGTTGGCGAAGTGAAGTCTGCTACAAGTAATGACCTTGTTTTTGATTACATCACAACTTCGAGAACTGATGTTAAAGAATGCTGTACAACATCGTCGACAACAAGCACCACCACAACAGACGTTGCCACAGACGAGGTGAACTGATACCTATTTTATATTTCCATCTTTCATAATAGGTTGTTCCCCAATCTATAACTTGAGAACGATTGGGAGGCATTTCGTAAAACCCGAATGCTATAGCAAACAGCCTTAAAAGGCCCTAATCTCTTTGTATTACTTCAGCGCCACAGTCAGTGCTTGCCCCACTTTTCAGTCTGACAAAAGAATCACATTAACTAAACATAGCTGACCAACTTTCTACCACATATTTTTGCCTCCACATGATCAGCAATTCGAAAAGGATGACAGCATGAGCTCCTCGCCATTCCTGTCTGCTCTTGATTTGGTTGTAAGTAATGTGCTAAGTTTTCTTGACTTGAGTTGTCACTTTGTTTGTAAACAAAATAGAGATCGTTAGATTCTAAGACGAGTACTAAGTAGCCCGCGCGAGTGAGCCAGCGTCATTTTGGCGGGAAAACGCCATAATCGCCCTCACTGATCGTTACTTTACGACGGGTTTTGGCGAAAATGTCTTAGAGTCAGAAACAGGTTATCAAATGCTATAGGTTATCATTTTGCGGTCGGGGGAGGGCAAAAAAATCTGGTCTTCGAATCTAAATCTTTCTAATGTGCGCTTGCAGAAGACTCAAATTAACTAGCCAACTCGTAATTCTTGTCGCTTTTCATTGCAGAATTCAAGCCTCAACACAAACGAAAGTGATGAATTTAAACAAACGAGAAAGGTACAGTTTAAGGGGTGGAAACTCGACTTGAAGTCGAGATTTTAATTTTCTCTATATTGCTTAATGATTATCCTGCGGAAACACTGAATTCCCAAAAGAGATTCCGTAGAGAAAAAGAGAAAGGGTAGTTTAGGGATAGGGTGATCGTTTCAGTTGACTTGCTAAAGTAATTTCGTCATTGTTTTGGATCTAAGTTGTTACACTTTGCCTTAGGCAAAAAACTCTCGCGCCGGGTTCTCAACTAATGTAGAAAAACTACACCTAGTCGAGATTTTTCCAGTGCTTTGAGATCTGATTGGTTCTTGTCCATGATTGGCGAGGGGAGAGTACAAAGCAGTACTTTGGCATGCATGGTCGAGTTTGTATTGACCACTCCAGAAATACCATAACATACAAAAATACTTTTTGTTTGTCACCACAAAATTTTGCATAAGCATTGTCTTCAGTTTCCCTTGGGGCTATTTTAAATCCCAAGAGAAACTGAAAACAATGCTTATACAAAATTTTGGGGTGAAAAACAAAGAGCATTATGGTATGTTATGGTATTTTCTGGAGTGGTCAATTAGATTATGTTAATATATCTTTTTGCAAAGTACCTTAAACATAATATGAGGTGAGAGGAAGGTGGCCCCTTGACGGTTTTTTTTTTCTCATTTTGTGAAGCGCGGCACCAATGTTATTATCATCAGTATTTTGGTTATACGTTTGTTACTAGACTTTATTTATACATATTTATCTTTAAGTTATTTCACTTTTTCTCAAGTCATTTAATTACTAAGTATACGCTCGATCCTGGCCTTGTAAACTTAGTAACACTTTTATACTCTGAAGGAGCCATTATCTATAAGCCTTATGGTTTCTTTTTGGGCATCCTCAACCCATTGCTTCTGTGTATTTCTTTACCTAAACTAAACTTAACTAAATTTAATTGATTAAACCTAAATTTATATTGCAGATTCCTGTTCCTAAAGTAGTACCAACCATAACGTATTTCTTTGAAAACGGGTAAGTAGCTCAGCATACATTTTAATTGTATTTGATTTTAATAATAAAAATAAGAATAAGCGTAGTACGCTAGTGGGGTGTACGATTTTCGCTGGCTGTTCTGTGAGTTTCTTTGCGGGGTTAACCGTGAAAAAGCCAAACATTATAGTCGTTAGTAAAAAAAAACGGAAATTTTAACCGTTCCTTGAAAAAAATGTTAACACTAAAAATTTCTTGTAGTAGCCTCAATTTGTCATTATTTAGAGAGGGTCAATATTGCTTGTTGTGACTCTACTCGTCATGTCTCCAGGCTGATGGACAGAACGTTCAGCCTTTTCTTAGTTTTTCCATCCCGGAGTGGTCCTTAGACGCCTGCACCGATGAAAACTTTTGGAATTCTTTAGAGAAAATGATTTTTCAGATGTCTATTGACAGTAACAGAGAGAAAGAAGCAGTTAGGCCATGTAAACCCCCAAATAGTAACAGTTTACCGTAAATATATCCACTCAACTAAGAAACGTACTCTGATTTAGAGATTTGATTCAATGAACTCAGGTACGTTATTGTTGTATAAAGGATTTATCAGTATTTGTAAAATAACTAAGATAGTACGCGCGTTCTGATTGGTTAAAAACGTACGGTTTGTTGTGCCTGTAAACTCATAGAAAACTGAAAAATGCTTTAAAGTTATTTTATGAAAGCAATAGACCACACTTTCTATGGGTTTACCGGCGTAATAACCCACTTGTTCTCCCAACATCCCGCGTGGGTTATCACGCCGGTAAACCCATTGCTTAAATCTTTCTTTTAGCAACGGGAAAGAAATCGGTATAGTGTGTATATACCTAGTGGTCTAACGTAGAATTGACTAAGACATCATTTTCGGAAAGCCGGCGAGGCAATTGAGTCAAGTGTAAAAAGATTTTTTAAACTTATTATATTTGTGCGAAAAAATACTTTTGCTATGTATGGTCTATATTCAGCAATGAAAAGGATCATTTAAAGGAAGAAAATACAGACGAAGTTGTAGCAGCTGCTAACAGCAACAAGAGAACAACGTCGGAGGTTTGTTTGTCGTTCTACTTCATTTAGAGGGCGTACTGTTCTCTCTCCTTTACTAAACTAGATGACTGGAGACTCGTTTATAGAGTATGCTCTTCAGGTATCTCCTATAATCGCTACCTAATCACTAAGGAGAACATCATATACAGTCAAAGGCCATTAATACGGACACAGAGGGGACCAATGAAAGTCTCCCTGTTGACAGGGTGTCCGTAGTAAGCGGGTTGAATTTAGAGAAAATGTTTGTTGTTGTTTTCCCCAGGGACAATGAAAACATGTCTTTATGTGGATTTATCAAAAAATTTGAAGAGGTATATTCCTTCACGCTGGCCAACAGGACAGTTTCGAATTTATAAAATTCATACCTGGTTCCGATGCTTGGGTTTATAAAACAAAGGAAATCCTATTGAGTTTTAAGGATAAATAATTCAGTTCTTTTGTTTTATTACCCTCCGTCTGTGAGCCGAGTATAAATTATGATGATTCGAACTGGCCTCTATGATACCTTAAATACTCCTCCACTGACACTGGGTCACTTTCCTAAGATCCTAAACCCGTTTACTAAAGCAAGCCACTTTCGCCTACTCTCAAATGATTTCATGTCTCGGTAATCAGTTACCGAAACGGGCACTTCTAGCTTTCAATCTTCTGTTGTCGTCCTATTTTGATGTGTTTTGTTGTTTTGTTTTTTTTTTAATTTCTTTAATCCCCAGAAACCGGACTACATTGAGTCAAATTTTTGTTTTAAGGGGTTATTCTTTATCATTATGTTACTACACAGAGTTTCTGGTGCCTGGAAGATGATCAACGTGTTTGTAAAAAGACCAAGCTGGAGGAGAATAAATCAAAGGTGAAAGACAATAACTGGATGCGATTTTAACGTTAGTTGGGCATGTTTGATTTTAGTGTAAGTCATGCCCGTACCTATACCATTATTTAAAAACACAAGTTGGTCAAATTTCACTTTTCAAGCCTAATTTGAAGGGTATCGGACTAGGTTTGTTGTCTATTTTTTGGTTTCATTAACGTATTTTGTATATATCATCGTTTCTTTACATAGAGTTTCTGGTGGCTAGAAGATGATCAACCTGGTGGTAACAAGACCAGGCTTGATGAGAATGAATCCAACGTGAAAGAGAAAAAAGCATCAGATCACCATAAACACAAGAAATCCGTACATCAAGGGACAAGAACGAAGAATGTAAAGACTAAAAGTTCAACGAAAGCGGCCCAGGTGATTAGAATTATGTTTCGTGGTTACACGGGTTTATGAAACGCACAACGCCAGAGTAAGCGTCAGCGGTCTCCGTTTATCTCGATGCAACTTAAAGACGGATCGTTTTAGACCTTATTATGCCAGCTTTGTTTTGGGGGGTGTGGAGGGGGGGGCAATTTTTGTCAAACGTTGTTGTTGGGGTGATTTCTTCTTTTGTTTGCGTGTATGAAATCTTTTGTTACTTTCTCAACCACCACTAACACGATCTCATGCGAGTTGGCGCTCATTCTGTTCATGAACCTTTGACTTCAATTCAAGCTGCCATAGTCAGATTCCAGTTAAAGAAATGAGGCCAAAATATTACCCACTATACTACTCGCCCGATGCTGGGTTTGATAGACTACTCACCTGGCCCTGTAAATTAATGAATTCAGCAAAAAAAAATTGAATTAAGGAACCATTAAAAGTGGTTTAGAAACTTTGACGCATCTTTTATATTGGTTACAAATGAAGCTTCGTTTCCATTCTAAACGTTATGCTTTCAATGTTACATCAATAGGGATTTTGGTGGCTTGAGGAGGATCCCTCTGACGGCAAGATGTCAAAATCAAAAAGCAACAAGAACTTGAATCCTGGTAAACACAGCAAGAGAGTCAGTGACATGAAAGAAACAAGGAATGCAGGTGTTGGTTTCTTCACCAAGGCGTCAGAATTAAAGTCATTAAAACCCATTAGAGATACCTCAAGGGAATCGCGCAGGCATAAAGACAATTTACTTGCTGGCCATAAAAGTGGCAGTAGTAGACAGAAAATAGATCAGTGGTTAAATAAGTGCTCCACATCACAATCAATAGGACATAAAGACAGTCGTGAGAAGAAGAGGTCTAGGGACGGTTCGTCAGGTGGTAACCTTGGTAACATATCTCCTGGAGATTCTGCTGGTGTTAAGGACGTGGCTAATGTAGTTGTTAAGTACCTGTCTCCTTATCTAAAGCAGGGCTCTATTGTCTCTAAGGTAAGAACTACGTATTAAACAAATAGAACTTGTGAAAGTACTACTGAAGAGGTTACATTTGGATGGTACATCAACTCAGGATTAAGCTCAAACGTTAGAACTGAAAACTCTTTAAATAGCATCAGTGAAAGTACTTGCGGTACCATTGAAGAGGTTTCATTTGAATGGTCATACCATAGAATTTCATCCACAGACATAGAATCGTTTGAAAGTTCTGCTGAAGAGGTTTTATTTGAATGGTAACAACAAAGGATTTCATCCACAGACTCAAAAGTTAGAACTCTATGCTAAATACATAGTACCGTGTAAAAATATTGCTGGAGAGGTTACGTTTGAATGGAGCACGGAAGGATCCTATCCTTAGACTCAAGCTAGAATCTCTTTGTATATCATAATAAACCAGCAGCACAAGAAAGTGCTGTACTAGAGCTTTCATTTGAATGGTTTGCATAGTCATAATGTAGCAAGGATTAAATCCACTGTTTCAATCGCACCAGAGGAAGGCCATCCTTCGCAGCTTTTATCGTCATACCGAGGGATTTTATTCACAGAGTTATAGTAAAAGTCAAAGTTCATATTTACATAATCGACCCTGGCAGCGAAAAGGGTTGAAGTTACTATTTATAGGTTAACATTTTGTTTTGGTTTGTTTTCCTCTTCCACCAGAACTTGTTTAAGTATTTAGCTCGCTGTATCACCCACAGAGTCATGCAATCTGGAAAGGTGTCTTCATCCTCGTCAAGTGAGTTATTACTTGACTTTAAGGACCTTCGCGGATTGGTTTAGTTGTTGCTTAATGCTCATCTAGTTGTTTGACAATTCTACTGCTTTTAAGCTCTGCTTATGTAACGTTTGAGATTACCCAAACGCCACTAACAGACAAATCGAGATTTAGAAAGTACCTTCAGGCTTGGGACCTCGTCGACTATCCCTTACTGTAATTTGGATCTGCCTATATTCTAACTAGAAGGACGAAATTTCAAGGGGTCAAGCTTGGTTGACATCCATTGATGATTATGTAAAATCCTCTATCTCCTGCCCTCATTAATGATCTCCTTCTTCGTTCGCCTTCTAAAGTGCCATCAAAGTAACTTTCAGTTGTTTTTATTCTTTGTAGAAAAACTTGAGGTGAAAGCCACTGTTAAGAAGTTGTTTGATGTGTGCAAGATATTTGAGCGCGAAAGTGACTGGGATAAATACATCAGAGTTACAGGAGTTTCAAAATGACTCTAAGCAATAAGCATTGAAATTATTTATTACTTTAAGTTTGCTCAGTTAAATATTAGGGAGCTTAAGAAAAGGCAACGGCTACGGCAACGGGAACGGCAAAAAAAGCAATAGGTTTAGATTGCAAAAACAACAACTCTGCACGTGCATCACGCTTTTTTGTACATTTTCTTTTACCGTCACTGCTCGACTACGACGTGAAAGTGCCTAATTTCACGTTTTATGGAGGACGTAAACAAGCGAACGCGAAATCTTCTTTCTCATTCAGAACTTGGATATGGTTCTGAGGAATTTAATCCCAGGAGAGTTCGCGTACAATTGGCAAAGCCGGCCTGACTCAAACGTCCTCCTTTTCATGTACCGAAGTTTATAGCACTTGGGTCGACCCAAGTGATATATGTTCGACGGTTCATTCAGACGTCAAATTAGTGGGACTCACGATGTACAAAAGTCTACATTGCTTACCAGTGGAAATAAATCATGGTTATTTATGCATAAGGTTCGGCACATGAAGAGTTCGACGCGGTTTGAAACGAGATCGCTCCACAGTCGAAATTCCCGTGTAGGCCAATTCATGGGTCGGATTAAATTGATTCAAACGTCGATCTTTTAATGTACTTAATTGAAGGGATTAGTTGCCGTACGTAAAAAGTTCGACGTTTGAACAGGGCCTGGGACCCGTTTCTCGAAAGGCCGCTAACTTTTCGGGTCCTGAGACAAATTTTAAACTCAAAACCCGTTGAAAAGTAGCACAGTTCCTAGCTCTCAAACCACTCAATTTTGCTTCGTTAACTAATAGTTTCATTGTATCATTTTCAAAATTATTTAAAGTTTGATATTGAATACCAACACGACGAACATAAAACATCTTTCCGGGCCCGAAACGTTACCGGGACTTCCGAGAAACGGGCCCCCGAGTTGGAATAATCGCGATTGAAGAGAGGAATGCTAATTCACTTTTTAAGCGACGTTTTCGCCGCTGTCGCCGTCGCCATCCTAAGGATCTTAAGGTACCTAGAAAAGCTGAACGCAATCAGTGACAAAATATTACAAAGAAATATTTATTTTGTCTCCCAAAGACTAGATAAAATTAATATGTTTGCAAGAATTTGAATGATAAAGATCACGTTGAGTTTAATAAATTTCCCCTCAAAAGAATCAATTTAAACCTAAAAATTGTTTAAAAAGAGGAAAAAGCTATAATTTATCTTCGTCGTCAGAAAGTTAGTGATATATTTGGAATAAAAATAAATTCAATAAAGAATGATGAAATATTGACTGTTTTAGTTTCAATGTTTGCTCAAGAGGGTTTTCTTAATATGTAAATATTCCAACTTAAAAAACCAAGCATGAAGGTAAAGCCTTGTAAGCCTTTCTCATTGATTTAAATTACACTCCTTTTTGAACGGCAGTAGTGTTTCCCAGAGTCCCGGGCGGAAAGCGATGTTTGTGTTGTGGTGCTATTGATTGGTGCTTTCATTCACCGTTGAGAGAATCTGTTTTGTTATTCAAAATTGCGATGTGCGCTAGCGTAAAATTCACGAATTTTTTGGTCTCATTAGGAGGCCAAGCTAGCCAGCGTAAAAGGGGCCTGTTTTTTTCAGGGGTGAAGGAAGAAATACTAAGGTTAAGCAGCTCCTGCCGCTAAGGCCGAGCATGGTCAAACGGATTTCAACTCGGTAGTCACTAGCAAGTGTTTTTCTCGATGACCGGGAGGTGAAATCAGACTCGGCCATTCTTACAGTTAACTCTTTTGCCTACGGCCAGTAGCGATCCTTCTTTGTTGTTAATTTTAGAACGCAGGTATTTGGTTTCTATCCTTCAGTTTCTTGTGGGCCTTAATATTATGAATTATCGGGTCACCAGTAATAGCGCCACTCCTTTGAAGATTTTGTCTGTTTATTCGTAAACGAGACTGACGAAAGATTTAGTGTATTCGAGCAATATGTTTCTATGCTTCGCGCATAATGTAGTCAGATTGCTAAAGAATGCACTTTATTTGAGTGTAAATGTTTTTAGCGCGAGAGTTTGCAGCCATTTGCAGGGCAAGGCACTACCTTCATTTCCAGTTGTTTCAAGATTCCGAGTATTGTTCTGGCCCCGGGGATCGTACCACCGACTGAGTTAGTCCTGCTAAATATGAAGCTTAAACGCGTAAGTTTGTTCTGTTTTTTTCTAGCAAAACATTGGTAAGGGAAGGAACCCTCTCCAAAATATTTCACAAAGAGAGGAATCCATCAGCCAATATAAACTATCTTAAATTCCATCCGCGACAATCCTTCAAAAATCAACTTAACTAGGAAAATCAACTTTTCATAATCAGCTCCTTCAGTCCGAGTGAAGACTACGCTGAGGTATTGATAATACACGCGCAAGGGTTAAAAATAGAGGCCGCAAGTAAAAAATCTTGTTATCGTAATGTGGCATATTTTATTCAGGTTTTGTCTGACCTCGTGGTAAGCAATTTATAGACTCAAGCTGCTTCATATCAACATCATTTCAACTGGTTAATCGCAAGACATTTATCGCATTCCTGTGAAGCATTAATTAAAAACGATGTTTCGTTTTACGCTGTGCTTGTTTCTCGTCAGTGTCTTTTCTACCGCAACAAGGTAACAGTATTTCTACTTCATTTTTATATCTGATTTGAACATATTACGAGTACGTGAAATTGAACAAAAAATCTCTTCACTTTCTTGATGAGAGGCTACACGAAGATTTTTCTCCTTGTGAAACAAATTTCAAAATTCATATACTTTAATTTATATTTTGCTCGCGGTTACATGACATGACGGTGCTGTTTTAGACTTCGTGTGCTCTGGTGGTTTAATAATTCGCTTTAATGCAAAATTGATACAGCAAGTTTCAAAGACATTAATAAACACAGACTTTCGATTAAAGCAATGCAAAAGAGCTCAAAAGGCTTCTATAAGAGTCAATCACATTGAACGAAAATTTATACAAACTGAATGATTTTTATCTCTAACTGGAATGAGCTATGATCATGACTCTTTTCCATGCATTTTAAAAAACCTTTCGCGCGGCTTTCGAAACACTTCTTACTACCTAGCTACAGGTAAGAACCATATACAGCTTTGAGAAGCCCCAAACATTGAAATTTCGGTACAAGACAGAAAAGAGAGTTTTACGACATTGAGTTACAAATCTACAGCTTTTTTGGAGTATCAGTAAATCAAATTTCGGATTCCGCACAAACTCATGTACTAATGCGTGATAAATTTTATTACGTAGGGCTCTGGATAAAAATATCAGATATAAAGTGCTAGAGATGGACCCAAAAGGCAATCTTTACCTTCACAATACTGCGTTTCTGTGCAAGAATGATATAATCAAACGACTCGTTAGCGGCAAATACAATCTCGTAGAATCGAGCCCCATTGGTAAGTCACTAAATTTTTCCCACATAGAAAACCAGCAAAGGGCTTTATAAGTACTGTGATGAGTCGTATGCTTAATGCTTCCAGACCTCTGCTGAATTAGCACTGAATTAGCTTATTCTTGAACTGCTAAAATGTTCGAAAAGAAAAGAAAGTCGACAGTGCCATTTCAAATGTTTTCGTTCTTCCTTAAGCCACTTTTTTTTCTAATGATAACTGAAAGAGAGTGCTGGTACTGTCCTTAGGCTAACTGATGAAAGCTCAGTTTAATTAGAATGCTCGTTTTCGTTATGAACGCAGGTCTGTCAAAAGATTCTTCAGCGCTCAATTGCAAGGATCTCAAAACAAAGGTGCCTTCTGCCACGTCAGGAGTCTACTGGATTGATCCGGATGCTGGTTCCCATAGCAACGCTTTCCAAGCCTATTGCGAACAACAGACGGACGGAGGAGGTTGGACTTTGGTCTGGAGTTATACCTTCACAGCTTATTCAAGCTTCACGTCTGGCGCAAACGCTGTCACTCCACGGCCTGCATGGACAGCCAGCGGCGCTAACACACGAGTGTCCACCACAGTTCCACTGAGCGAGACGCATTATGAAGCCATGAACTTTGCTTTGTGGCGCACCATTGGAAAAGAATTCCTTATCAAGAGTAACATCGACAACTGGATCGCTTGCAAGGAAGGTTCTGGAAGCCTCGTGATGCAAAAAGCGGGGTCCCTCAGCTGTAAACTGGTCAAACAAGTTTCAAAGCAGTGTGCCGGTGTAGTGCCAAAGACCATCTCCATGTACAGTCCTGGTCCTTCTCTCAACACTGGAAGCCACAACTATTACTTCGACGGTAGTACGAGTGGTAGTTGGCCCACACATGATCCATGTGGCAGAAATCAAGCGAATCAAGTAAAAGGCGTGGTTAATCCACATGGCAATATTTTTGTAAGGTGAAAAATTTCTCAAGCGCATGCTGAATATTGGGGAGGAACCAAAGATAAAATCGTTAAATGCTAATAAGCTCTCTAAGGGACTGTAAGCAAAACTAGTAGCAAAAAGTTAAACTTAACATACAATTGAAAACTATACTACTGTTGTGTGGCAACAGAAGGCAGCGGAACATTGTAAATGAATAGCCAATAAATATGGGTTCCTTATATTGCAAATGTTTCATTTATTGTTCAGCATTAAATAAGGTTTAGTTAAGTATCGTCACCCAGTTTAATCACCTACTATTCCCACCGTCAAAGAGTAAAACAAAGTTAAATTATTTCCCTTGACCGATTTTTTCTCGTTTTACGTTTTTCGCGTTACCTTCTGAAAGCGACCACACAAAAACGCTGAACTGCACTCAACTCTCTCATAAGGGACACCTATTTATAAAAGAAGGACACCTGGTGTTGGCCCCTGCCGTTTTCAAGTCATTTTACTTACCAATACTCTCGAAAACAAGAGGAACACACTTCACTTCTGTAACCGCCAAAGGACATTTGAGAGGTAGTTTATGCCGTGAAAAATAAGTCTAAGGGACTGTGCAATAATTACCCGGACGTGGGCTGGGAAATGGGTGAAATATGCCCCAAAACTAAGTCATACCCCCTCCCCCCTTCTCATTAAGCAAAAATTAATTTCACCCCCCCCCCCTCACATAATGATAATATTAAGGCTACCCCCTCTTTTTTTCAAGCTCACTTTAATCATACTGTGTTTTATTTACCATACTTTAAATTTTTATTGCTATCAAAATTTCAACAGTTGGGTTTTTCATTCTGCTTAATTATGATGCCTTGAGTGCTAACATTGGCATCTTTCTTTTTCATTGAATAATTTTATAGTGCTACTTTTGCAACTTTTAATTTAAGTTTCCTGTTTTATTAAATCCTAGTGCAAATAAAGTAGTACTATTGTAACATATATAACAGAGGAACAGGAGGGTAAGCCTTCATGCAAATCGCTTGTTTAGCGGTCGCGCATGCTCATGCAAGAAAGACCCCTGTTCTCGTGTCGCCCACCAGGCGTGAAGAAAGGCTTCATTAAGGGAGAAGCGCTCAGTTGGGAGAAAAATATCAGAAATTTTCAAAATCGCCTGATAGAAAGAGGCTACCCTGCAGTTATTGTGAGAAAGTACCTCTCTGAGGAAAAACTGGCCGACAGCAAAACTGCCCCTTAACAGAGAAACAAATCCGCACGTAAAAAACTACTACCTTTTGTTACACAACACAACCCCGTTTTACCTAGCCTGAAGAAAATACTGATGGAGAAATGGCACCTTATACAAAACCAAGAACGGTTATATAAGAGAAATCTTTAAGGAGACTCCACTCATATCATGTCGCGAGGGAAAATTCCTTAAGGAGCTGTTAGTTAGAGCGAAGCTCTGAAGGTCAGATAACTTTTGAAACAATATTTAAGGGGTGGCGAATGGTACCTCGAAAAACGTGGGTCTCGAAAAATTTTGGCAGGATCTCGAAATCTCGGAAGCGTTTTTGATAAGTCTCGAAGTCTCGTTTTTGTATGGTTTAATATTTCTGCTTATTATTGATACCTATTTTTATGAGAATAAATAGGACCTCGTGTTTCTTTGTTTGCTTCCTTTCTAGAATATATTTAGTAACAACGTGGGTAACCACACTTAAGGTACCAGAATTTTAAACAGCAATGCAATGTGACAAACAAAAATCGTACATTTTAGTAAAATTGCATTTTAAAAAGGACACAACAGGTTTGTCATGAGAGTATTGTTAGCAATAATTTCAGCTGACTGTGTTTTATATAACAAGTGTAGGGAACTGTCCTATTAGTATATAGACGTAAATGTGTACCTATCTATGTTATAAAATAGGATGACCCACCCCCTAAGGGTAGCTGAAAATTGCACGACCTACCCCTTACGCAAGGCTCAAAACCTCATGACCCACCCCCCTTCTGCTCCGACGCACCTCATCCCCACCTCCCCCCCCTCCCTATACTTTTTGACCAGTCCCTGAAGTGAACGTCTGCTATCTTTACCAAGTCGGTGAGCGGAGCTTGAGGGCGGTCGCAGACGAGCCGCTGACTCTGTTTGGTCTTTGATAGTCTTCAACATTAGAAGTACTATGACTAAACCCAAGGTATCTATTACCTTGGCCACGGTCCCTAGCAAAGCTTTGTCCATCAGAAGCTGCAGGTTTTGCAACTACCTTTAACTACAACTGTTGCTTGATATCCTTGATCCCGTAGGCCAGAGTGTTGATTTTGTCAAGTAGGAGGTAGCGCTTTGAACCAAGGCTTTGAATCAAGGCTTTGAATCAAGGCGTGTGATTCAACTCTTGGCATGGCCGAATTTGTCTTAGATTATGTTATTATATCGTTTTGCAAATTGCCCCTTAAATGTAAGATGAGATGAGATTAAGGTGGCCCTCCTCATAAAAAAGTTTTTTTCTCATTTTATGAAGTGCGGAATAAGCGAACTACGCAGTGCGCTCCATGATTTTCGCACGGGCTGTACCACGAGTTTCTTTGCGAGGTTAACCGTTGAAAAGCCAAAAATTTTAGTCGTTAAGTTAAAAAAAACAAAACTTTTAACCGTCACTCGTAAAAACAGGGAGCGCTAAAAATTTCTTGTAGCCACAATTTGTCATTTTTTAAGAGAGGGTCAATATTGCTTGTTGTGACTTTACTAGGCTTGTCTGATCTCCGCCCAGGCAACTGGACGCTATTTCAACCTTTTCTTAATTTTTTTTTTTTCTATCCCGAAGTGGTCCTTAGAGGCTTACGCCGATGAAAAATTGTGAAATTCTTTAGAAAAATTGATTTTTCCTGTTCAAATGCCTATTGACGGTAACGGAGATAAAGGAGCAATTAGCTGTGTAAAACCCACAATAATAACAGTTTACCGTAAATACCTCCACTCAACTCAGAGAAACTCTAAGCATCCCTGAGAACAATAATGGGCTTCTCGTACTCTCATGTAGAGATTTGATTCAATGAATGTAACTACGTACGTTATAGGATTTATCAGTATGTCTTTCTTTTAACAACTGGACAAAAAATCGGTATGTACTTAGTGGTCTAACATAAATTGACTGAGACATCATTTCCGGAAAGCCACCGAGGCAAATTAATTAAGTGTAAACAGATTTTTTAAACTTATTATTTGCAAAACATACTTTTGCTATGTATGGTTTATATACAGCAATGAAAAGGATGATTTACAGGAAGAAAATACAGACGATGAAGCAACTGCTGCTAACAGCAACAAGAGAACAGCATCGGAGGTTTGTTTGTCGTTCTACTTCAGTGAGAAGGCGTACTCTTATCCCAAGATAACTTGAGACTCGTATATAGAGTGTTGCTCTTCAATTACCTTCCATAATCGCCCCCTAATCACATAGGAGAACATCATATACAGTTAAACCCCGTCAATGCGGACACAGAGGGGGCCATAAAAAGTGTCCGTATTAACGGGGTGACGTATTAAGCGGGTTGAACGTAGGGAAAATGTGAGGTCTTGCTGTCCACAGGGATAAGGAAAACTGTTCGTAATAACGAGGTGTCCATATTTTAATCCCGTGTCCGTAAAGTCGTATGCGCCGATATGAAAACATGGTTTTATGTCTGGATCAACGAAGTTGAAGAGGTATAGTCCCTCACGCTGGCAAACAGGACAGTTTCGAATTTATAAAATTTATACTTGGTTCCGATGCTTGCGTTGATAGAACAAAAGAAATCTTATGGAGTTTTAAGGATAAATAATTCAATTCTTTTATTTTATTACCCTCAGCCTCGGAGCCAAGTATGAATTATGATGATTCGAAACTGGTCTCCATGATATCTTAAACTTTACTCCTCCACTGACACTGGGTCACTTTCCTAAGATCCTATACCCGTTTACTATGATTCGAAACTGGTCTCTATGATATCTTAAACTTTACTCCTCCACTGACACTGGGTCACTTTCCTAAGATCCTAAACCCGTTTACTAAAGCAAGGCACTTTCCCCTACTCTCAAATGATTTCAAGACTCAGTTACTGAAACGGGTACTTCTAACTCTCAAGCGTCTGTTGTCGTTTAATTTGGTTTTTAAAAACATTTCTTCAATATATCCCAAGGAACAGGACTAGGTTTAGTAAAATTTTGGTTTTAAGGGGTAATTCTTTATTGTTATTTTACTACACAGAGTTTCTGGTGGTTAGAAGATGATCAACCTGTTTGTAAAAAGACCAAGCTGGAAGAGAGTAAATCACAGGTGAAAGAGAATAACTGGGTACGATTTTAACGTTAGTTGGGCATGTTTGGTTTTAAGGCATGCCCACACCCATACCCTTATTTAAAAACTCAGGTTGGTCAAATATTTATCTTTCAACAATCAAGGCACAAAGCCAGTTTGAGAGTAAGCGCCAGTGCGAACTTCAAAAGCCTATGTGTAACTCGATTCGACTTAAAGACGGATGGTTTAAGACCTTATTACGCAAGTTTTGTCTTTGGGGGTAATTATTGTCCAAGTTGTTGTTGGTGGTCTCTCTCCTCCGCAGAGGTTCCTGCCGGGTATCCCTATAAAGATAGCAATAATCGGGGAAAAAAAAGCGCGCTGGGGACGATGAGAAGAGGTTAAATCTTTTGTTACTTTCTCCACCACCACTGAAACGATCTCGAGCGAGTTGTCGCTCATTTGTTCATGGACCTTTGACTTCAATTCAAGCTACCGCGGACAGATTCCAGTTAAAGAAATGGGGCTAAAATATTACCTAGTATGCTACTCGCCCAATGTTGGGTTTGACAGACTACTCGCCTTATGGCCCTGTCAATTAATGAATTCAACGAAAAAAAAATACATTTTAATTTAAGGAAATATTAAAAGCAGTTCGAAAACTTTGACGAGCCTTTGGTATTGGTTGAAAATAAAGCTTCGTTTCCATTTTAAATGTTATCCTTTTAATGTTACATAAATAGGGATTTTGGTGGCTTGAGGAGGATTCCTCTGATAGCAAGATGTCAAAATCAAAAAGCAACAAGAACTTAAATCCTGGTAAACACAGTAAAAGCGTCGGTACCATGACAGAAACAAAGAGTGCAGATGTTGGTTTCTTTGCCAAGGCGTCAGAATTGAAGCCATTAAAACCCATTAGAGATACCTCAAGTGAATCGCGCAGGCATAAAGACAATTTACTTGCTGGTCATAAAAGTGGCAGTAGTAGACAGAAAATAGATCAGTGGTTAAATAAGAGCTTCACATCACAACCACTTGAACATAAAGACATTTGTGAGAAGAAGGGGCCTGGCGAAGGCTCGTCAGGTGGTAACCTTGGTAACATATCTCCTGGGGATTCTGCTGGTGTTAAGGACGTAGCTAATGTAGTTGTTAAGTACCTGTCTTCGTATCTAAAGCAGGGCTCTATTGTCTCTAAGGTAAGAACTACGTATTAAACAAATAGAACTTGTGAAAATACTACTGAAGAGGTTACATTTGGATGGTACATCAACTCAGGATTTCATCCACAAGCTCAAACTTAGAACTGAAAACTCTTTAAATAGCATCAGTGAAAGTACTTGCGGTACTATATTGAAGAGGTTTCATTTGAATGGTCATACCATAGAATTTCATCCACAGACATAGAATCGTTTGAAAGTTCTTCTGAAGAGGTTTTATTTGAATGGTGACAACATAGGATTTCATCCACAGACTCAACAGTTAGAACTCTATGCTAAATACATTGTACCGTGTAAAAATATTGCTGGAGAGGTTACGTTTGAATGGAGCACGGAAGGATCTTAGACTCAAGCTAGAATCTCTTTGTATAGCGTAATAAACCAGCAGCACAAGAAAGTACTGTACTAGAGCTTTCATTTGAATGGTTTCCATAGTCACAACGAAGCAAGGATTGAATCCACTGCTTCAATCGCACCAGAGGAAGGCCATCCTTCGCAGCCTTTATCGTCATACCAATGGATTTTATTCACAGAGTTATAGTAAGAGTCAAAGTGCATATTTACATAATCGACCCTGGCAGCGAAAAAGGTTGAAGTTACTATTTATAGGTTAACATTTTGTTTTGGTTTGTTTTCCTCTTCCACCAGAACTTGTTTAAGTATTTAGCTCGCTGTATCACCCACAGAGTCATGCAATCTGGAAAGGTGTCGTCATCCTCTTCAAGTGAGTTATTACTTGACTTTAAGGACCTTCGCGGATTGTTTTAGTTGTTGCTTAATGCTCATCTAGTTGTTTGTCAATTCTACAGTTTTTAAGCTCTGCTTATGTAACGTTTGAGATTACCCAAACACCAGTAACAGACAAATTGAGATTTAGCAAGTCCTTAAGGTTTCGGACCTCGTCGACTATTCCTTACTGTAATCTGGATCTGCCTATATTCTGACAAGAAGGACGAAATTTCAAGGGGTCAGGCTTGGTTGACATCCATTGATGGTTATGTAAAATCCTCTATCTCCTGTCCTCATTAATGATCTCCTTCTTCGTTCGCCTTCTAAAGTGCCATCAAAGTAACTTTCAGTTGTTTTTATTCTTTGTAGAAAAACTTGAGGTGAAAGCCACTGTTAAGAAGTTGTTTGATGTGTGCAAGATATTTGAGCGCGAAAGTGACTGGGATAAATACATCAGAGTTACAGGAGTTGGAATTTCAAAATGACTCTAAGCAATAAGCATTGAAATTATTTATTACTTTAAGTTTGCTCAGTTAAATATTAGGGAGCTTAAGAAAAGGCAACGGCTACGGCAACGAGAACGGCAAAAAAAGCAATAGGTTTAGATTGGAAAAACAACGACTCTGCACGTGCATCACGCTTTTTTGTACATTATTTTTACCGTCACTGCTCGACTACGACGTGAAAGTGCCTAATTTCACGTTTTATGGAGGACGTAAACAAGCGAACGCGAAATCTTCTTTCTCATTCAGAACTTGGATATGGTTCTGAGGAATTTAATCCCAGGAGAGTTCGCTTACAATTGGCAAAGCCGGCCTGACTCAAACGTCCTCCTTTTCATGTACCGAAGTTTATAGCACTTGGGTCGACCCAAGTGATATATGTTCGACGGTTGATTCAGACGTCAAATTAGTCGAACTCACGATGTACAAAAGTCTACATTGCTTACCAGTGGAAATAAATCATGGTTATTTATGCATAAGGTTCGGCACATGAAGAGTTCGACGCGGTTTGAAACGAGATCGCTCCACAGTCGAAATTCCCGTGTAGGCCAATTCATGGGTCGGATTAAATTGATTCAAACGTCGATCTTTTAATGTACTTAATTGAAGGGATTAGTTTCCGTACGTGAAAAGGTCGACGTTTGAACAGGGCCTGGGACCCGTTTCTCGAAAGGCCGCTAACTTTTCGGGTCCTAAGACAAATTTTAAACTCAAAACCTGTTGAAAAGTTGCACAGTTCCTAGCTCTCAAACCACTCAATTTTGCTTCGTTAGCTAATAGTTTCATTGTATCATTTTCAAAATTATTTAAAGTTTGATATTGAATACCAACACGACGAACATAAAACATCTTTCCGGGCCCGAAACGTTACCGGGACTTTCGAGCAACGGGCCCCCGAGTTCGAATAATCGCGATTGAAGAGAGGAATGCTAATTCACTTTTTAAGCGACGTTTTCGCCGCTGTCGCCGTCACCATCCTAAGGATCTTAAGGTACCTAGAAAAGCTGGACGCAAATCAGTGACAAAATATTGCAAAGAAATATTTATTTTGTCTCCCAAAGTCTAGATAAAATTAATATATTTGCAAGAATTTGAATAACAAAGATCACGTTGAGTTTAATAAATTTCCCCTCAAAAGAATCAATTTAAACCTAAAAATTGTTTAAAAAGAGGAAAAAGCTATAATTTATCTTCGTCGTCAGAAAGTTAGTGATATATTTGGAATAAAAATAAATTCAATAAAGAATGATGAAATATTGACTGTTTTAGTTTCAATGTTTGCTCAAGAGGGTTTTCTTAATATGTAAATATTCCAACTTAAAAAACCAAGCATGAAGGTAAAGCCTTGTAAGCCTTTCTCATTGATTTAAATTACACTCCTTTTTGAACGGCAGTAGTGTTTCCCAGAGTCCCGGGCGGAAAGCGATGTCTGTGTTGTGGTGCTATTGATTGGTGCTTTCATTCTCCTTTGAGAGAATCTGTTTTGTTATTCAAAAATGCGATGTGCGCCAGCGTAAAATTCACGAATTTTTTGGTCTCATTAGGAGGCCAAGCTAGCCGGCGTAAAAGGGGCCTGTTTTTTTCAGGGGTGAAGGAAGAAATACTAAGGTTAAGCAGCTCCTGCCGCTAAGGCCGAGCATGGTCAAACGGATTTCAACTCGGTAGTCACTAGCAAGTGTTTTTCTCGATAACCGGGAGGTGAAATCAGACTCGGCCATTCTTACAGTCAACTCTTTTGCCTACGGCCAGTAGCGATCCTTCTTTGTTGTTAATTTTAGAACGCAGGTATTTGGTTTCTATCCTTCAGTTTCTTGTGGGCCTTAATATTATGAATTATCGGGTCACCAGTAATAGCGCCACTCCTTTGAAGATTTTGTCTGTTTATTCGTAAACGAGACTGACGAAAGATTTAGTGTATTCGAGCAATATGTTTCTATGCTTCGCGCATAATGTAGTCAGATTGCTAAAGAATGCACTTTATTTGAGTGTAAATGTTTTAAACGCGAGAGTTTGCAGCCATTTGCAGGGCAAGGCACAACCTTCATTCCCAGTTGTTTCAAGTTTCCGAGTATTGTTCTGGCCCCGGGGATCGTACCACGGACTGAGTTAGTCCTGCTAAATATGAAGCTTAAACGCGTAAGTTTGTTCTGTTTTTTTCTAGCAAAACATTGGTAAGGGAAGGAGCCCTCTCCAAAACATTTCACAAAGAGAGGAATCCATCAGCCAATATAAACTATCTTAATTTCCATCCGCGACAATCCTTCAAAAATCAACTTAGCTAGGAAAATCAACTTTTCATAATCAGCTCCTTCAGTCCGAGTGAAGACTACGCTGAGGTATTGATAATACACGCGCAAGGGTTAAAAATAAAGGCCGCAAGTAAAAAATCTTGTTATCGTAATGTGGCATATTTTATTCAGGTTTTGTCTGACCTCGTGGTAAGCAATTTATAGACTCAAGCTGCTTCATATCAACATCATTTCAACTGGTTAATCGCAAGACATTTATCGCATTCCTGTGAAGCATTAATTAAAAACGATGTTTCGTTTTACGCTGTGCTTGTTTCTCGTCAGTGTCTTTTCTACCACATCAAGGTAAGAGTATTTCTAATTCATTTTTTATATCTGATTTGAACATATTACGAGTACGTGAAATTGAACAAAAAATCTCTTCACTTTCTTGATGAGAGGCTGTCGCTAGTTTGCTTTCATTTTACCTTGCTTACACGAAGATTTTTCTCCTCGTGAAACAAATTTCAAAATTCATATACTTTAATTTATCTTTTGCTCGCGGTTACATGACGGTGCTGTTTTAGACTTCGTCTGCTCTGATGGTTTAATAATTCGCTTTAATGCAAAATTGATACAGCAAGTTTTAAAGACATTAATAAACACAGACTTTCGATTAAAGCAATGCAAAAGAGCTCAAAAGGCTTCTATAAGAGTTAATCACATTGAACGAAAATTTATACAAACTGAATGATTTTTATCTCTAACTGGAATAAGCTATGATCATGACTCTTTTCCATGCATTTTAAAAAACCTTTCGCGCGGCTTTCGAAACACTTCTTATTACCTAGCTACAGGTAAGAACCATATACAGCTTTGAGCAGCCCCAAACATTGAAATTTCGGCACAAGACAGAAAAGAGAGTTTTACGACATTGAGTTACACATCTACAGCTTTTTTGGAGTATCAGTAAATCAAATTTCGGATTCCGCACAAACTCATGTACTAATGCGTGATAAATTTTATTACGTAGGGCTCTGGATAAAAATATCAGATATAAAGTGCTAGAGATGGACCCAAAAGGAAATCTTTACCTTCACAAGACTGCGTTTCTGTGCAAGAATGATATAATCAAACGACTCGTTAGCGGCAAATACAATCTCGTAGAATCGAGCCCCATTGGTAAGTCACTAAATTTTTCCCACATAGGAAACCAGCAAAGGGCTTTATAAGAACTGTGATGAGTCGTATGCTTAATGCTTTCAGACCTCTACTGAATTAGCACTGAATTAGCTTATTCTTGAACTGCTAAAATGTTCGAAAAGAAAAGGAAGTCGACAGTGCCATTTCAAATGTTTTCGTGCTTCCTTAAGCCACTTTTTTTTTCCAATAATAACTGAAAGAGAGTGCTGGTACTGTCCTTAGGCTAACTAAAGAAAGCTCAATTTAATTAGAACGCTGGTTTTCGTTATGAACGCAGGTCTGTCAAAAGATTCTTCAGCACTCAATTGCAAGGATCTCAAAACAAAAGTGCCTTCTGCCACGTCAGGCGTCTACTGGATTGATCCGGATGCTGGTTCCCATAGCAACGCTTTCCAAGCTTATTGCGACCAACAGACGGACGGAGGAGGTTGGACTTTGGTCTGGAGTTATACCTTCACAGCTTATTCAAGCTTCAGGTCTAATGCAAACGCTGTCACTCCACGACCTGCATGGACAGTTAACAATGCTAACACAAGAGTGTCCACCAAAGTTCCACTGAGTGAGACGCATTATGAAGCCATGAACTTTGCTTTGTGGCGCACCATTGGAACACGATTCCTTATCAAGAGTAACATCAACAACTGGATCGCTTGCAAAGAAGGTCCTGGAAGCCTCGTGATGCAGAAAGCGGGATCCCTCAGCTGTAAACTGGTCAAACAAGTTTCAAAGCAGTGTGCAGGTGTTGTGCCAAAGTCCATCAAGATGGACACATATGGTCCGTATCTCTCCAGCAGTAGCCTCTACTACTATTTCGACGGTTATACGAGTGCCAATTGGCCCACGCACGATCCATGTGGCAAAAATCAATTGAATCAAGTAAAAGGTGTGGTTAATCCACACGGCAATATTTTTGTAAAGTGAAAAATTTCTCGCCTGCTGAATATTGGGGGAAACCAAGATAAAATTAGCACTCTAAGGCACTGTAAACAAAAGTAGTAGCAAAAAGTTAAACTTAACATACAACTGAAAACTATACTACGGCTGTGGCAGCAGGGGGCAGCGGAACATTGTAAGTAAATAGCCAATAAATGTGGGTTCCTTATATTGAAAATGTTTCATTTATTGTTCAGCATTAAATAAGGTTTAGGTAACTATCGTCACCTAGTTAAATCATCTACTATTTCCACCGTCAAAGAGTAAAACAAAGTTAAATATTTCCTTTGACCGAATTTTTCTCGTTATACGTTTTTCGCGTTAGCTTACTGAAAGCGACCACACGTAAACGCTGAATACACTCAACTCTCTCAAAAGAGACACCTATATAAGACAGACACCTGGTGTTCGCCCCTACCGTTTTCAAGTCATTTTACTGTAACTATATACTCACTAAAAATAATACGGAGATGGACACCTCTCTAAGACGAACACACGTAACTTCTGAAAGCGTCAAAGGACACTTGAGAAGTAGTTTGTGCCGTGAAAAATACCGTACGTCCATGCGGAAATGTAGGTGCTCAACATGACATTAAACTACAATAATGGGGAAGCAATTTACAAAACCAAACTGACCAAACTCTGTACTGGACTCCTGCTTGTATCTTAAAACTATTCTTGTCCTTTCTAAACATCACTTGGAGGGAAAAGAAAAACATTGTCTTGTTAACCTGTAAAACCGTTATCTTCTCGTTTTCGCAGAACTTTAGTTTACTCAGGCAAGTTAAGGCATGGGTTGAAAGGCTGAAAAGACCCCCACAACGAATGCAAAGATCCTTTTTAATGATGCCGAAGGATCCAAGTAAAGGGTTCCACAGAGGTATGATAAGACATATCTCACTAAAATAGTTTTGGAAAAGTCATTCCAAGCATCACGCGACATTCCTTGGACCATGACGTCACAAAACCTGTTTTTTCAAACGGGGCAAGGTTGTTAAACTTCAGCCTAAATATACTTGTCATCATATTGTCAGCGAAACTGTCTGGATTGTCAATTAGCCTTGCAAGTTGGATTAAAGCATTTTTATTAAGAGTTATTAGAGTCTTTTATAAGTCACGTGACCTGTTTTTCTTTATTTCGTAATCCTTCCTGCACTTAGGCCTACATGCAGGGCTATTTCATAATATCCAGGCCACGGGAAAAACACTGGTGCTTAAGAATGTTTGCAGCTCTTTCATTTCCTTCCCCCCGTTTTAATTTGAACACGTTGAACGTTAACGATCATTTGCAGGTCACGTGACTAATATTTCAACAGTGAATATGTCACATATTGTTAAGGCCACCAAGCTAAAACTGTTTGCCAAGTTTCATGACGACTGATCAAAACAATCCGTTTCAAATGCCCTTTGGCCAAATTATGCAAATTATGAGGTGACCCACGCTTTAACATGCCTGAGTAGCCTTTCAAGAGGAGAACTTCAAATGTTCCCACCAAAAACAAACCATTACTTACTTACAGTATTGTATTACAGTTTGTTTTGAACTCAAAATATATAATATATCATTTTAAGGGCCAATATATTTTTCGCCAAAAATTTAAACATCAATTAAAAATTAAATTTTGAGAAAAAAAAATTAAAACGCGATAAACACATCCTTCTCTTCAAAGGTTGGTGCTTATTTTGAATAAAAGTAAGCTAAAGTAAATAGAACAACGAACGAATGAATTGGGTTCAATTGTTTCTTAAAATGGCTCCAGTGTGGTTACAGGCGCATTGAACTATGACGAAACAAGCTGAAACAGTTACCGAGTCGGTCATACGGTTTACGGTTCCTAACCACGAAAACTTCAGGAGAACTTGGCAATAATATGAAATAATTCGATTTTTACGTGCGAAATTGGCGCTAATTAAGTCAAGCTAGAGAGACTCTAGAAGGAAATCGCGTATAGTGAAACATTTTTTCGAATATTTCTCGCTGAAATTTCTGGTATCATCTTTTATTGATATAATTGGTATGTCAAATAAATTTTTAGAGAAATATTATTAGAGCAGAATTCCGTAACTAGAGCTGTTTGATTTCGACAACCGCGAATTGCTCTGAGGCAGAACGAAGCATCACTGAATTTTTGGCACAAGTATTTTCAAGGCAAGCTATATTCTGAAAACCAAGCCGATCGGCAATCGTGCTATTCTTTAAAAAGTCACTCCATAAATTATTCCAAACCTTGCTGTGAAGATAATTTGATTTATTCTTCAATATTTTTTAAATATCTTTCAGCACCTTTGGCTCAAACTCCTGCTACATAGAGCCTCTTGTGTAAATAGAAAATATTCCATAAAGAAAAAAAAATCCATAAACCGATGTAAACTTATTATTTCCATCCGCCTATCGGCCTGACATTGCTTTAATGTTCTGCAGCTAGGGAAAAAATGGTGGAAAAAGTGGTTCTTAGAGGCCTACGACGATGAAAAATTGTGAAGTTCTTTAGAAAAATTGATTGTTTCTCCTCAGATGTCAGTTGACGGTAACGGAGAGAAAGGAGCAATTAGCTGTGTAAACTGAGCCAAAATAATCACAGTTTACCGTAAATACCTACACTCAACTAAGAAACTCTATGCATCCCTGAGAACAATAATGGACTTCTCGTACTCTTATGTAGAGCTTTGATTCAATGAATGCATGTACGGTATAGTTGCTTAAACGATTTATCAGTATATTTTTCTTTTAACAACTGGACAAAAAATCGGTATATACTTAGTGGTCTACCATAAATTGATTGAGAAATCATTTCCAGAAAGCCGCCGAGGCAAATGAACCAAGTGTAAAAAGATTTAAACTTATTATTTGCTACAAAATATACTTTGTTATGTATGGTTTATATTCAGCAATGAAAATGATGATTAACAGCATCAAGAGAACAGCGTCGGAGGTTTGTTTGAAATCAGTGTCGAAATATTAAAAAGAAATCTTTATTTTGTCTCCCAAAGTTTAGATAAATATATTTGCAAGAATTTGAATAATGAAGATCACGTTGAGATCAATAAATTTTCCCCTCAAAAGAATCAATTTAAACTTAAACTTTGTTTAAGAAGAGGAAAAAGCTATAATTTACCTTTGTCATCAAAAGGTTAGTTAGTTATATAATTATTTGGAAAAAATAAATTCAATAAAGAATGATGATGTATTGACTTTTTCAGTTTCAATGTTTGCTCAAAAGGTTTTTCTCTATATGCAAACATCCCAACTTCAAAAACGAAACATGAAGGTAAAGCTTTGTAAGCCTTTCTGGTTGCTTTAACTTACACTCCTTTTTAACCGGGCGGCAGCAGTGTTTCCAAGTTTCCTGGAAAGCGATGTTCGTGAACTGATGTGTTGTGGCGCGATTGATCATTCACCTTTAACAGAATCATTTTGTTATTCAAACTTCTAGTGATGCGCGCAAGCGTAAGATGTACGAGTTTCTGTGTCCCATTTGGAGGTCGTGCAAGGCAGAGCAGATATCAACTCGGTCGCCCTGGTATCCCGCTCTAGCCAATGGCAAGTGTTTTTCTCGGTAGAACCGTGCCGTTGAAATCTTGTACTGATTTGCCTACTGCCCGGGCGGGGGATTTGCTTCCTTATTGTTAAATTTTGAAAAAATGTATTTTGTGCGCTGAAACTTGAACAATCGGGTCACCAGTATTAGTCCAACTCATTCAAAGATTTTCTCTGTTTATTAGTAAACGAAACTTTCGAACGACTCACGTAATTCGTTGTCGATTATTATGTTTCTATACTCCGCACATAAGTGCACCTTATTTTGGTGTAAACGTATTTAGCGCGAGAGTACTAAGGGAGAACACTATTTTTCCTCTCCTAATGAAGGCAGGACCGCCATTTTACGTGATTATCCGAGCAACGCGAAAGCCGAGCCGTATGTAGGGCAAAGAAAGTATCTTCATTTCTCAGTTGTTTTTAGATTCTGAGTGTTGTTCTGGCCCCGGGGATCGTACCAGTGACCTTCCGCTCTCTATTCAAGCGCCCTACTGACTGAGCCAGTCCTGCAAAAGATGAAGTTTAAGCGCGTAGATTTGTTCTCTCTTTATTTTTGTGGGGGTGGGGGGGGGGGTTCTTGTCTTTGTTGTGGTTTTTTTCCTCTCTCTCTCTCTCTTTTTCTCTCTCTCTCTCTCTCTCTCTCTCTCTCTCTCTCTAGAGGAAAAGTAGGGCACTTTTGTTACTTCTTTCCCTTTTGATAATAGCATTGTCAATTTAAAGTGGTAACTCGTGAAACTTAAACTATACACAGTTCACTTAAAGTAACATACGCATGTAAAAAGACAAATTCGAGCGTTAAAACAGAAGAGAAAAAGCTGCAAAGATGTCACAAAAAGGTTACAAAAGGGCCCTACATCGTGGTAGGTGCTTTTTAAAATGCTTTTCACACCTTTTTTGCATTTAATTGTAGCTATTACTTTACCATTTATACTCCATACGATTCCCTCACTGACCACAACACTTTAAACTGGAGATATCGAGGCCGGGAAAAAAACGCCGTGAACATGTTTGACTTTTCATGTCCATGAAAGGAATCACGATTCGGAAAAAGCCCATTTTTGAAATGGAAAGTTTCAAAACGTCAGTGTGACCTTTTGAACCAATCAGCAACCGCAAAATTGTGGTGGGAGTTTAGTTAAGTCTATTGTTAATCTAATAAGTGAAACACAAAGTGAAATGGTCGTTTCCTTATTTTTTGGTGATTTTTTAAAGTTACTGATATCTCGAAAGTGGCCCCGTTACGAAAGTTCCCTTTTTGCTAGAAGTTCCAGCAAGCAATTTTACCGTAATTTGTAAGAGATAAAAATCAAAAAAGCAATCAATCTAAACACCATTAAAGTAGAAGTAAGTGGGCGAAAATACAGGTCCTTCCTTTAAAAAGTAAGGCGCTGGGCCAGCGGAAAGGTGTTCTAACCCCTTTTACGCATTTTGCGCTATTGGGTATACGGGTATATTGTTTGCGCAATTACAAGTAAATGCGTGAGTCCTTTCCATCGATGAATTATGAAGTTATTAAGCATGATGGAAATAATTTTAATCAAGAAAAAAATCATGTGTGGTCACTGGTGTCAAACATGCACAATGGAAAGTTATTCAATTTCAGCGCTTCTCTAAAGGCCCCGCCTTTATT